TGACACTGTCTAACCATCTCATCCTTTGCCGTCCCCGTCTTCTTTGACCTTCAATCTTTCCCAGCATCAGGGTCTTCTCCAGTGAGTGCTCCCTTCTCATTTGGTGGCCAAAGTATTTGAGCTTCAGTTTCATTATCTGGCCTTCCAGGGAACAGTCAGGGTTGATTTCTTTGAGGATTGACTGATTTGTTCTTCTTGCAGTCCAAGGGACTCTCAAGAGTCTTCTCCAGCACCATAGTTCAAAAGAATCTATTCTTCGGCGCTCGGCCTTCCTTATAGTCCAGCTCTCGCAGCCATACATGACTACTGGGAATACCATTGCTTTGACCATGCGGACTTTTGTTGGCAGGGTGATGTCTCTACTTTTTATCATGCTGTTTAGGTTCGCCATCGCTTTCCTCCCAAGGAGCAGGCGTCTTTTAATTTCATGGCTGCAGTCACAGTCTGCGGTGATCTGGGATCCCAGGAACGTGAAGTCTGTCACTACTTCCACGACTTCCCCTTCTATTTGCCAAGGAGTGATGGGGCCGGATGCCATGATCTTAGTTTTTTTGATGTTGAGCTTCAAGCCCACTTTTGCGCTCTCCTCTTTTACTCTGAGCAGGAGGCTCTTTAGGTCCTCTTCACTTTCTGCCATTAGAGTGGTATCGTCTGCATATCTGAGGTTGTTGATCTTTTCCCCAGCAATCTTAATTCCCGCTTGTGATTCATCCAGGCCAGCATTTCGCATGATGTACTCTGCATATATATTAAATAAGCAAGGTGACAATATACATCCTTGTTGTACTCCTTTTCCTATGCTGAACCAATCAGTTGTTCCATATCCGGTTCTAACTGTCGCTTCTTGGCCCTTATACAGGTTTCTCAAGAGACATGTGAGGTGGTCTGGTACTCCCATCTCTTTAAGGACCTGCCATAGTTTGTTGTGATCCACACAGTCAAAAGCTTTAGCATAGTCAATGAAGCAGAAGTAGATGTTAAACTCTGTTAACCTTTGCCCTGCTTCATTTTGTTTTCCAAGGCCAAACTTGTCTGTTATTCCGGTTACCTTTTGACTTCCTACTTTAGCATTCCAGTCCCCTATGATGATGAGGACATCATTTTTTGGTGTTAGTTCTATGAGGTGTTGTAGGTCTTCATAGAACCGGTCCACTTCAGCCTCTTCTGCATCAGTGGTTGGGGCATAGACTTGGATTACTGTGATGTTGAATGGTTTGCCTTTGAATCGGACATAAATCATTCTGTCATTTTTGAGATTGTATCCCAGTACTGACTTTTGCACTCTCTTGTTGACTATAAAGGCCACACCATTTTTTCTACGAGATTCCTGGCCACAGTAGTAGATATAATGGTCTTCTGAGTTAAATTCGCCCATTCCTCTCCACTTAAGTTCACTGATTCCTAAGATATCGATGTTCAGTCCCCAACCCTCCACATTCTCCAGTTAAGGGGAAATGCTGTATAAGCAAATTACAAAGATGACCAGAGAAAGAAATCTTACTTACAAAAATAGAAGCACATCTTACATGACATATTCATCCCCCTCCAGAGTCCTGGTGGGCTATTGTTCTAGACCTCCAAGCTCAGCCAATCTCTGGTATAAACAGTCCTGCAATGTTCCAGTCCCAATACATAACACAGTGGCACCTTTAAGACCAAGAAAGTTCTGTTTGAGGTATAAGCTTTTGTGTGCAGGCACACTTCCTCAGATACGTTGAAATGGAAGTTACCAGTCCATACATATAGGTTAGCATACAGCACAGTATAGGTGTTTAACGGATGCAAGGACCAAGCTGGAATAACAAGCTTAGTTTATATGATCATCTTTTGTTTGGGTTTAATTCTGAGGGGAAGCATAGTCAAGGAAATAAATATATCAAAATCAGAGATTGATGGGCATAAGAACATCAGAAGAGCCTTGCTGGATCAGACCAGTGGTCCATCTAGTCCAGCATCCTGTCTCACACAGGGGCCAACCAGGTCCTCTGGAGGGCCGACAGCAGGGCATAGAGGCTGAGGCCTTCCCCTTATGTTGCCTCCTGGCTCTGGGATTCAGAGGCTTAGTGCCTCTGAATGTGGAGGTTCCCTTCAGTCACCACGGCTGGTAGCCACTGATAAGCCTATCCTCCTCCACGAATCTATCTAATTCCCCTTTAAAGCTGTTCATTCCTGTGGCCATCAATGCCTCCTCTGGCAGCGAATTCCACACTTTAATCACTCTCTGTGTAAAGCAGCACTTCCTTTTGTCTGTCCTGAACCTACTGCCCATCAGTTTCATTGGATGCCCTCGAGTTCTAGTATTTGGAGAGAGGGGAAAAAATCTCTCCTTGTCAGCTCTCTCCAACCCCATGCATGATTTTATAAACCCCTGTCATGTGCCTTCTTAACTGTGTGTACTCATCTTAACTGTGGAATGTTGAGAGTAATTAACTGAGACCCTGCTACCACGCTTCATCCTTCTCCTCTCAAGCGTGGAGGCAACAGCGCAGCATCCTCTTCTTTGAGGATTAGTTATCATGGGCCCCGGTCACACGGAGGATTTGCTGCGCTAAAGGCACGAATGTCAGGCGGATTTTCGGGGCGCGATCAACCCCCAACTAGCGCACCCGTAGCCAACCTTTGGCATCCCACCGAAGATGCGCAGTAAAAAAGTACCTCGGAAAGTGCACTAGTATCCGGAAAACGCGGGGCAGGGGCGGGCGTCTGATTGCAGGAGCGCTAGTATCCCGTGGCATCTGCCGCCCGTCCACGTCCCGTCGCAACCGGATGTTTTTCGTAAAACACATAACTGAAAGTAGTGCTGCTCCGTGGAACTGAGCATGCACACAAATGTGAAACGCTTGCCGCGTCTTTTCTTTGCCACGCTCCAGCATTGCCGTGTGATCGCCAGCTAACAGCCTAAGTGCAAAGACTCGGGGGACCGTGTGATCAGGCTACTGTGCTTTATTATGCTCTGGGGCGTATAGCCATGTCTCTCCCCCACACACACATTATCTGGCCCGTGTGACCAGGGCCATGATAAGTCAATTGCATTTGGTAACTGGCATATTACTCTGACTTAAGTTTGGTACCTGACATACTACTGTAGCTTTATGCTATAGGAATATGTTAATTACTGATTTTTTTAAGTACCTGAAAAGGCCTTCCAGGGTGTGTGTGTGGGGGGGGGTTGTGGCCATGGAATCTGGGGCCAGTCAAGGGTAGGGAAGGCTACCATGTGAATTCTGTGTCACCCGTGGCTTCTCAGCGGCAATGGAAGGAACATGGGGAACTGTTGTATAGATGTGGCCATTATCAATACTGAAGCAAATCCTTCTTCAGCCAAAATCCATCTCCTTTTGTCTGCTAATTCCTCTTAGTTCTGTTATTTTCAGATTACTTACTTCCTATTTTTTTCAGGGATTGTCGGTTTTCTCCAGGCACTCCTGAATAAATGCTTGCTTATCTGCTTTTATTCAGGAAGGGGAGTTGATTTGCATACTTCTTTCACTTTCTAGCCAGCCAAACCATTGTTTATTTTTTTAAAAATGTTTTGTTTATTCTTATTAGCCTAATTGGTACAGGTGAGGTTCCCCAACAGGGCAAATATTGGCTCTCCAGAGCTATTTCAGGTTGGGGAAAAGGTGCTGGGGGGTGGGTGGGTTCTACAACATGCACCAGAGTCCTGTTCTGAATCAGGCCTATGTGTGCCTGGAAATTAAGTTTCAAGCGCGGAATTCCTGGCACATGCCTGTTGATAGGATCCATGTGGAGGACAGAAAAACCTTGAAACATGTGAATTGGCAGGCAGTCTCCTCTTTTCAGTCTTACAGCATTACTTCCTGGCAGTTTCATTGGCTTTAGAGGGATCAGGAGAAAGAAATCTCTTGTTCAGAACACAACGATGGCCTCTTGTTTTGTAAAGGCTACCGCAGGCTGTTTTCCTTCGTAGTCATTCCCGTTGAGCTTTTCTGATGTCCTTTTGCTAAACACTTACTTCTTTCCCTCCCCATATTTACCTTTCAGGGCTCCACCAAGTCCCTCAACACTGCGAAGCAACGTAACACACTACCCAGGTAAGAGTCTGGTTTTGTGATGACTGCCTGGAGTCAAGGGGAGGGTATCTCACCTAGCTTTGTTCACAGGTAGCTTTTTGGTGCTTGTAGGTTATTTTGTAGGTTCTGCAAGTATAGAGAATATAAAAACAGCCCTGCTGGATCGGACCAGCGGTCCATCTCATTTTTAAAATTTATTTATTTACTTTCAATTTATACCCCCCTTGCCAATACAAACTGGCTCAAGGCAGCTTACATAAGTTAAAATACAATCCAGCATTTTGATTCACTTAGTGGCTAACCAGTTGCCCTGGAGGGCCAACAGACAGGGCATGGAGGCCAATGGGGTCAGGAAGCAATTTTTCTCCAGGCCAGTTTGGCCAGGGATCCTGGAGGATTTTTTTCATCTTCTGGGCATGAAACCAGGGTCCCTGGGGGTGTGGGGGAGGTATTACTGAATTTCCTGCATTATGCAGGGGGTTGGACTAGATGACCCTGGAGGTCCCTTCCAGCTCTAGGATTCTGTGATTCTATTATTCAGTGCTTTTGCTTGACGTTACCTCCGGGCACTGGTATTCAGAGGTTTACTGCCTCTGCATGTGGAGGTTCCCTTTAGCTGCCATGGCTAGTAGCCACCGGTGGACCAATCCTCCATGAATCTTTCTAATCCCCTTTTACAGCTATTGGGGCCATCACTACATCTGTTGGCAGTGAACTGCACCATTTAATTATAGAGATTCTTTCAGGAGGCATTTTCCAGCCATGTCACACAGCTAGAATATCCTGACCAATTCTGGTTCATTCGTGTTGAACTGGAACAAAATCAAGAGGGACCACAATGGATTTGTGAAGCTGCTGTAAACTGAAACAGGCCACTGGTCCATCAAAGTCAGTTTTGTCTATTCAGACTGGCAGTGGCCTACTACCTCCTACCTGATATTTTTCACTGGAGATGTTGGGGATTGAACCTGGGACCTTCTGCATGCCAAGCAGATGCTGTATCACTGAGTCATCCCCCCCCCCCCCCGCGGCGTTGATCTCAGAATCAGGAACAGGCCACCCATAGATCACATGGATACTTTTCTTGTTCCCTCTTCGGTCATTGGTGGAAACCATTCCAAAGCTGCTGATATAAATTCCCAAATAATGTGATGGTCTTCTTTTTTAATGAATGCTAAATGACTTTTTTATTTTTGTTTTTTGTATTAATTTCTTTAATTTTTATACCGAAATCCATTGTTAAATGCCAGAGGAGTCTTGGTTGACAAGCAGGTTATCAGTTTCTATAGCCCAATGCACCTTTGACCTGTTTGAGTTCTGTATCGGCTGCAGCCCTTCTAGGAAATGTCACCTTTGCTACCCTTGTCTTTCTAACTTCCAAGATAACGCTATTGCAATACATTGTACTTGGGGCTGCCCATGAAAGCATTTGGAAACTCGAGACACTCCAAAAGACAGCGGCGGGATCAAGAATTAGACCCCACAGAAACCAGTTGCATTTTGCTGCTGTTAAATCACTCTTGGAACCAAACTGATAACGAGTGGAGCTTTTTTTTGAAGTGCTGGATTTGACCTTGAAAGCCCTAAAATGATCTGGGATTGTGGTGTTTCAGGGGCTTCTAGCTCCTATCTGAGCCTTCCCAGGTCAAGACTGAGCTGTAGCTGCCACCCTCAGGATTGTGCCCATGACGGGGCCTTTTTGGTTTTGGCACCTGGATAGTGGGCTGTCTTTCCCAGGCGCAATGCCTGCCTTGTTAACTTTTCAGCTTATTGTTAGTTACTCAATGCTTTAGTAGCTCAGGTGTCTCTGCAGTTGTTGGGTTTCTGATGGCACTGTTTGGGTGGATTGTTTGTGCCGTTGTTTTCTCAACAATTAGGAGGTTACAGGAACTTTCCAGCACCACTGCAAATGTTTGCGCCCCCCCCCAAGAATCCACCCCCCCTTTTCGTCTCATTGGTTCTATCCCTGACTCCCCAAAGGAGTTTCAGCCTGGACCACGTGATGGAACGCAAGTATGACTTTGACCTCACTTACATCACCGAGCGCATCATCTCCGTCTTCTTCCCGCCTGCCCTGGAGGAGCAGCGTTACCGTGGCAACCTCCGAGAGGTGGCCCAGATGCTGAAATCCAAGCATGAGGACAAATACATGGTAAAAGAGGCCGAGGGAAGTAGGTGGTTGGGCAGGAAGCTACTGGGAGTTATTTGGGGGAGGAATGTTTTAAAATTGGAGCTGTTCATTGTTTCCTTGGGTAGGAGGGGGTGTATGCCTGGAGGATGGCATCCCTGAGAGCCAGTTTGGTGTAGTGGTTAGGAGCGCAGACTCTTATCTGGGAGAACCGGGTTTGATTCCCCACTCCTCCACTTGCAGCTGCTGGTGCGACCTTGGGTCAGTCACAAGTTCTCTCAGAGCCGTTCTCTCAGGAGCAGTTCTCGAAAGAGCTCTCTCAGCCCCACCTACCTCACAGAGTGTCTGTTCTGGGGAGGGGAAGGGAAAGGAGTTTGTAAGCCGCTCTGAGACTCCTTTGGGTAGTGAAGGGCGGGGTATAAATCCAATCTCTTCTTCTTCTTCTTCTTTTACCTCACAGGGTGGGGGAGGGAAAGGAGTTTGTAAGCCGCTCTGAGACTCCTTTGGGTAGTGAAGGGCGGGGTATAAATCCAATCTCTTCTTCTTCTTCTTCTTTTACCTCACAGGGTGGGGGAGGGAAAGGAGTTTGTAAGCCGCTCTGAGACACCTTTGGGTAGTGAAGGGCGGGGTATAAATCCAATCTCTTCTTCTTCGTCTTTTTCTTCTACAGCTGAGGCCTGAGAAAGGCTTTAGATATGACTGTCCCAGGCATACGGTTGCCACCTCTGGGTTGGGAAATGCCTGGAGTTTTGGGGGTGGAGCCTAGGAAGGGTGGGGTTCGTGGAGGGGAGGGATCTCAGTGGGGTATGATGCCATAGACTCCACCTTCCCAGGCAGCCATTTTTCTCCAGGGGAACTGATCTCTGTTGCCTGGAGATGAGCTGTAAACTCGGGGGATCTCCAGCTACCATCTAGAGACTGGCAACCCTACCCAGGCATGTCCCTGTACAGCAATGTCCGATCCAAAATGTATCTCCAGCATCTCCCTGGCTCGGGAGCTGTGCCTGATAGTCCAATGCAAAGAACGTTGTAGGCTGCCGAGGGGCCAGGGCTCTATTGGCACGGCGTAGTTTTGAAGGAACAGGAAATCCAAGGGATACGTACTTCCTGTTTCTTGTCAGCAAGGTGATGCATGGCGCGAAGGGAAGTGTGGAGCCCAAAGAGGACCTTACCCAAGGGCCCAGCTGTTAACTGTTGATTTTTTAAAAAAAGAAACACGGGCTGTCTGGAGGGGAGCTGGGTTGACACTAGAGCGAGCAGGGCCAGGACAGAATCTGGTCTCGCCGTAGCGCCTTTTCCAGATCGTGCTGGTTACCTGAGAAGAGACAGAAATGTAGGCTGGCGTCCGCCGCCCTAGCGGAGAGAGTCGTCATGAGTCACAGTGGCCAACGAGATGTCTCTTTGTGTCGACAGCTCTTCAACCTGTCAGAGAAACGGCATGACATCGTCCGACTGAACCCCAAGGTGAGGGGAAAGGCGTTGGGGGTGAGATGCTTGCATTGCCCTGAAGCCTGAGGGTTAAGATTCCGATGGTTCTTTCAGGGCGGAAAGTTGCAAAATAACCATCCATGTGTGAGGTACAGAGGTAGCGAGTCTGGCCTTCAGTGGCTACTCTTGTCCTTAGTAGCTCCTCGGGAAAAGGACAGAAAGAGGGCAAGGGGGCTACAGGACTCTTTCAGGGTCAGTGGGGATAATGGATGGTAGGTACCCCACTGGTCCCCGGCATAACAGTCCAAACGGTACTTGACAATCTGATTCCGGGCTCAATCGATGCATATTCTAAGCAGCAGCTTGGGGAAGAGATGGAACATCCCTTTGCATCGGGCTCAGTCTTGCCAGAGAGGCTAACCCCATACAAATAATCACTCATTTAGGCAAAATCAGGTTCTCATGTGCAAAAAATCATATCCTCCCTCTGCTGCTAATAGGACTTTTTGTCAGGTGGTCTTTCCACAAACCAGGCAAAACAACTATTCAAGAGAGCTTTTCTGTGCAGGTAGATAAATGATTGTGACTGTGATCTATACTGCTGGGTATAGCTTATTGTAAGTATTATGTCATGTGAATACTTACGCTATGATTCAGTTCTTTCTGGTGGTTCCAGATTTCTAAAATTCTAATGTGTTGGCTATTGAATGTCCCATTTTGTTGATTGTACTAACACACCGTGTGTAATCCACCTTGAGTCACTTGAGAAAGGTGGACAATAGATAGATAGATAGATAGATAGATAGATAGATAGATAGATAGATAGATAGATAAGATATTCATCAACAAGAGAGTGTGCAACCACTTCCAGAAATCCAGAAATTCAGGATTAAAGTCTGTCCTTCATAAAGAAAATAAGTGTTCCAGTTCTCATGGTTGTTTGGTAAAGTCCAATAAAGTAGGTAATGTTCAATGTGAGTAATCATAAAGAGGGACCGTTTATTAAGGAGATTAAAATTAATAATATTGTTCAGTTTATCCTCGTAAATCATAAACTCATTAAAATTCACAAGCCATCAAAAGCCCAGAGGATAAAACAACACAAAACCTTACCTATGTCTTTAGGCCTTGGTCTATTTTCTTCTAGATAAATAAAATGTGTTTCCTCTTAGCTCCGTTTTTAACATCCCTGGTTTACTTTACACTCTGAGTGGGAGGGGAAGCACTGGGAACAGCAAACAGCAGCTGTCCTAAAACAAAATCTGTTCCAACTCCCAAACATCAATTGCTGTTTTGTTTTCAATAATGGATTCTAATAATCATGTTTCTGATACCTGGATATGAGGTTCTTTAATACCAGAGAATTCTGAACTCCATGATTCTGGTCCCGTTTGCTTCTGCTGCTATATTGTGTTTAGAGCGTTTATGTATCATAGTGGGAGAATGTAGGGGAAAGAGGGGGAGGCCTGGATTCAAATCTTGACTTGGATATGTAGCTCATTGGGTTGCTTCATGCCAGTCACTTTACCTTCACCTAACCTACCTTGCACTCTTACCTGGACAGCCCAGGTTAGCCTGATTTCATCAGATCTTGGAAACTAAGCAGGGTCAGCCCTGGTTAAAATTCGGATGGGAGACCACCAAGGAAGTCCTTGGCTTCTAGGCAGAGGCAGGCAATAGTTATATCACTTCTGAGTGTCTCTTGCTTTGAAAACCCCATGAGGGGTTGCCATAAGTCAGCGGAGACTTGACGGCACTTTCTACCACTAACCTACCTTGCAGGGTTATTGTGAGGATAAAGAGGAGAGGAGAACCATTTATGCTGCCCTGAGATCCTTGGAGGAATGGAGGGTTTAACATGTCACGGATGGGAGACCACCAAGGAAGTCCTTGGCTTCTAGGCAGAGGCAGGCAATGGCTAAAGCACTTCTGAGTGTCTCTTGCTTTGAAAACCCCATGAGGGGATGCCATAAGTCGGCTGAGACTCAACGGCACTTTTCACCATTAACCTACCTTGCAGGGTTATTGTGAGGATAAAGAGGAGAACAATTTATGCTGCCCTGAGATCCTTGGAGGAATGGAGGGTTTAACATGTCACAGATAGGCCGAGGTCCATAACTTCAGTGTTTCTCTCCCCCTCTTTGATGCAGGTTCAAGATTTTGGCTGGCCAGACCTACATGCCCCACCGCTGGACAAAATCTGCTCGATCTGCAAAGCCATAGAGACCTGGCTGAATTCCGATCCGCAGCATGTGGTTGTGTTTCACTGCAAGGTGGGGGAAGGAAACATGCGTGGTCCCAGCATGAATTCCAGCTACACACACATGCACTTTGCCATTCACAGAGACCGACTTCACACAAGAGCTGTGCCGCAGTCGCGCCTCCCTTTGCCCTGCTTCTATTGGTCAATTTCCCACTCGAAGCCGCACGGCCACATTTTGACCCGCGGCTTCGCCCAATTTTCCCCGTGGTTTCGTGATCCTCAAAAAACAGATTGATTTGGCCCTTCCCATCCAGCTCCCTTCCTTGTTTTGGTTTTTCTCCCCTCAGCCCCCTCTTTTCTCTCACTTTCTTCAGTAGACCTTTGTCAAAACAGAAATCCGAACCATCACGCTGTCTCACAACCTAATGTGAAGCCACCAGTCACTGAGTCAAAACCCTAAGATCACTGCTCTGACTCACAGCAGCTCTCCAAAGGCCTTAGGCAGATAAGAACATAAGAAGAGCCCTACTGGATCAGACCAGTGGTCCATCCAGTCCAGCATCCTGGCTCACACAGGGGCCAACCAGTTCCTCTGTAGGGCCAGCAGACAGGGCATAGAGGCCAAGGCCTTCCTAAGAACATAAGAAGAGCCCTGCTGGATCAGACCAGTGGTCCATCCAGTCCACCATCCTGGCTCACACAGTGGTCAACCAGTTCCTCTGCAGGGCCAGCAGACAGGGCATAGAGGCCAAGGCCTTCCTAAGAAGATAAGAAGAGTCCTGCTGGATCAGATCAGCGGTGTATCTAGTCCAGAATCCTGTCTCACACAGTGGCCAACCAATTAATCTGGACAGCCAACAACACAGGGCATGAAGGCCGAGGCCTTCCCCCGATGTTGCCTCCTGGCTCTGGGATTCAGAGGCTTAATGCCTCTGAATGTGGAGGTTCCCCTCAGTCATCATGGCTAGAAGCCATTGATAGGCTTACCCTCCATGAATCTATCTAATCCCCTTTCAAAGCTGTTTATTCCTGTGGCCATCACTGCATCCTCTGGCAGTAGATTCCACATTGTAATCACTTACTGTGTCAAGTAGTATTTCCTTTTGTCCGTCCTGAACCTACTGCCCGTCAGCTTCACTGGATGCCCTTGAGTTCTAGTATTTGGGGAGAGGGAGAAAAATTTATCTTTGTCAACTCTCTCTATCCCGTGCATAATTTTATAAACCTCTATCACAATCCCCTTTAGTTGTCTTTGCTACTGCCAGCTACCTAAGATGCCAGTGATAGAACTTGGAACCTTCACAGATCTATAGCATGGGCTGGAGCCCTTGGGTTTCCCACTCAGAGTTGGGAAATACCTGGACATTTGGGGGTGGGGGTGAAGCCTGGAGTGGGTTTGGGGTTTGCGGGACGGACTTCAACCAGGTGTGAGAACAGCGGACTATAAGTAAAGTAAGTAAATAAATCAGAATCTGAAATCAGGTTCTATGTCTGATGTCTAACACTTATAAATAGATGGCATTACTGAGCAGCAGATGGTAGCACATGGCCATTCCGCACATGGTCAGAAACCCAGCTTTGCTGTCAAAGCTCCTGCGGCCTCCTCTCCCAACTCGCCCGGTTCCTTCTCCTTCTCTCTTCTGCTCTTGCCATCCATCTGCGAGAGAGCTGTAACCCCCTTTTAGGTGTTGACCCACAGTTTGAGACCCACTGCTTTAAGGTGCCACAGGTCTCTACTTCTGGTTCTCACTGTAATAGACTAGGGACGCTTTCACACACACTAAATAGTACACTTTCAGCTAGCGTTGCCAGGTCCTTATCAGCTGCTAGCGGGGGGCTCCAGGAGCTAGTCTGGGATCTTCCTGCGCGCGTGCATGCAAAGCAATGATGTCACCCGGAAGTGATGTCATCACATCCTCAATGTCGGTGACACTCTAGTTTTTGGACAAAACTCTATGGTTTTGAGCCCCAATTTTACCATAGAGTTTTGCCCAAAAACTAGAGCCTCAACCCCCACAACATTGGTGATGTGATGATGTTACTTCCAGGTGATGACATCACATCGTGCTCGGGAACATTTGCAGGCCGTGTTTCCCCCCACCGGCCAGCTGGCTGCAAGCGGGAAGGGGCCCACAAAAGTGGAGGAACCCATGCCCGGACGGGGGCCCTGGCAACTCTAATTTCAGCCCACTTTCAGTGCACTTTGCGACTGGATTTTACTGAGTGGAATGGTAAAATCCACTTCTAAGTGATCACTAAAGTGCATTGGAAGTGGACTGAAGGTGCATTATTCAGCGTGTGTGTGTGAAAATGACCTGTTGTGGCTACCCTACTGGCACTTATCTCACCCTAGTCAAGGCCTTCCGGTAAGGCCTGGGCCCTGGCCCTTCGCAGTTATTTGTTTGCTTAAATATTTATTCCCCACCTTTCCATTTTGCTCAAGGTGGCCAAGGTAAGCAGTGCCCAGAAGATGGGGCTGGGCTGGGGGGAATAAATAGGTGAGAATCCAGGATCCTTCTCTTCACTGGCACTTTCAGATCAAGGGCTTCCTTTCCATCAAAGCTGCTACCTGAACATCTGTCTGGTTTTTTAACTTCTCGTGAAAACGTATTGCGTCTGTAGGATGACAGTCCTGCTCCTTTGGAGTCCTAGTTTCAGCATGTAACTTGTGTCTCTCTCTCTTTGTGCCAGGGCAACAAAGGAAAAACCGGTGTGATCGTAGCAGCCTATATGTACTACAGCAAAATCTCTGCAAGGTACGGGAAAGGATTTGGGGCGGGGGTAAGGCTGCCAACTCTGGCTTGGGAAACTCCTGGAGATTTGGGGGGGGGGGAGCCTGGGAAAGGTGAGGTTTGGGGACGGAGGGACGTCAGTGGGGTACGATGCCACAGAGTCCACTTTCCAAAGCACCCATTTTCTCCAGGGGAACTGATCTCTGTAATCTGGAGAAAAGGTGTGATTCCAGGAGATCTCCAGGCCCCGCCTGGAGGTTGGCAAGCATAGGTGGAGGGTTGGGCTTCCAGCTCCATGTCAACCATAAGCCTTCTTACTACCACGCCTCTGTTTCCCTCACAAATAACATGGCCTTCTCTTATCCATTGGACTCTGGTTTCCCTCCTTCCTTCTGAATGGCCTGCTTTAGATCCAATCAGGGTGGGTAGAATCTGGATGTCATATAAGAACGTTTGAGTCCAGTGGCACCTTTAAAACCAACAGAGTTTTATTCAAGGTATAAGCTTTCATGGGCATGCACACTTCCTCAGATACAATCAAATGGAAGTTACCAGTCCATATATATAGGTAGAGGGTGAGCAGTAAATTAATGTACAACATAATGAAGATGTTTAACAGATTCAAGGGCCAAACAGGAGTAACAAGCTTAGTTTATATGGTTACCATTTCAGGGGGGGGACGACGAACATAGTGAAGGAAATAAATATGTCAAAATTGGAGACTGATGGGTAGATGTGTCCTTAATTGTGGAATTCCGAGAGTAATTAACTGAGACCCTGCCATTACACTCCATCCGTCTCCTTTCAAACATGGAGGTGACTTTACAGAATCTTCTTCTTTGAAGTGGGGCGATTGGCTGTGTAGAGTTATCTCCCCTGTCGCCAGACCAAAGAAATACATTCCAATCTAGCATTCCACATTACATTACATTCTACTATTTACTACATTACATTACAATCTACTCTTCTAAACTACTATTCCAAATAAGAAATAACATAAAGAGGATCTATGGCCCTTCTGGGGGATTGGTGAGAATACAGGTGTAAGGACTGGATGAGGTTAGCATATGTAGTGAGATAAGAAGCCCAAATCCCTGTTAAGTCCTGGGGATTCCATTGTTCCGAGTGTTGTAATAACTTGCAGCTCAGCATTTTCCCTTTCTAGTCTGTTCCTGAAGTTCCTTTGCAATAAAACCACTACTTTGAGGTCACTCATTGAATGTCCTGGAAAACTGAAGTGTTCTTCTACAGCTTTCTCAGTCTTGTGATTCTTGATATCAGATTTGTGTCCATCTATCCTTTGGCATAGGGTTTGACCTGTTTGCCCTGTGTAGAGAACCAAAGGGCGTTGTTGGCATTTAATGGCATATACAGTATTAGAAGATGAGCATGTGAATAATCCTGAGATGGTGTCGTTGACATTGTTAGGTCCAGTGACTGTGTTGTCTGGGTGTATGTGGCAACATATAGTCTTTTTATCCAGCATCCACAGACATACTTTAGGGCTGCCAACTATGGCTTGGGAAACACCTGGAGATTTGGGGAGTGGAGCCTGGGGAGGGCGGGGTTTGAAGAAGAAGATGAAAAGTTGGATTTATACCCCTCCCTTCACTTGAAGTCTCGGAGCTGCTTACAGTCTCCTTCCCTTTGTCTCCTCACAACAGACACCCTGTGAGGTAGGTGGGGCTGAGAGAGTTCTGAGAGAACTGCTTTTGAGAAAACAGCTCTGAGAGAACTGTGACTGACCCAAGGTCACCCAGCTGGCTGCATGTGGATGAGTGGGGAATCAAACCTTGTTCTCCAGATTAAAGTCCACTGCTTTTAACCACTACCCCAAACTGGGCCTCACAGGGGAGTTTTGGTCAGAGGAGGGACCTCAGCAAGATACAATGCCAAGGAGTCCACCCTCCAAAGCAGCCATTTTCTCCACGAGGACTGATCAGTTGTAATTACAGGAGGACTCCAGGCCCCACCTGGAAGTTGGCAACATTAATACTTGTATACACACAGACACTATTCCTCTCTTCTCTCTTAAGTGCGGACCAAGCCCTCAGCACACTGACCATGCGCAAGTTCTGTGAGGACAAGGTGGCGGCCTCCCTGCAGCCCTCACAGAAGAGGTGAGACTTCCAGTTTCTTCTTTCCTCTTCCTGTTGACCACAGTCTGCTTCAAAATGGTGGCCGCTTGAAAGAAGTGAACTGTTGGTAGAGGGGGCTGCTTATTGTGTGGGAGATATAGTTAGGGACCACCTTTCCAGCTTCCTCAGCCTTTGGACTGGGAGCCAAAAACGAGTTGATATTGTGTACCCTTCCATCTTGGCATCTTCCCAAACTGACCTCTCATCCTAACTCCATGCATCTGCCCTGGGTCTGGTCAAGCAGGTATGTACCGGGAGTTCCTGGCTGACACTTAACATTCTCAGGCATTCTGGAGTCAATTCAAATTGGGACTGCTGCACATATTGGGAAAGGAGGGTGTTATATCGTGGGCAGTTGGCGTTTCCTTATTGTATGGTGTACTTACTTTAACATCATCCCTTCAGGTAAAAGCCTTTGCCTTAGTATCACTTTTCACTCGTGTTGCTGGTTGCTGGCTGGGGCTGGTTGTGGCCTAGCTGGGCCCAGACCAGGCCTTGCTTACATTCTAATCAAGGTCTGTTCTGTCTTGGTACCTGGTGCTGTGGAGTTATTAGAAGGGGTTTAACCCTGCCTGCCCTGGGCCATCTTCCTGACCTGAAAAGGCCCCAGGGAGTTGCTGTTTGCCCCAATGGAGAAACCTAGGTGTAGCCTGTAGTCCATTGGTACACCTATGGGCCCTAACATGGAAAGCAGAGGTTCCCTGGCGCCATCTCCAGTCAGGAAAATGACACGGGTCAAGGATTTAGCTTTGAGGGCACTTTCCAGCAGCACCACCATACATGCCTAGGATTGTACTGTAAAGGAGTGAGGAGAAGGTCAGGAACCACGGCCTTTTTCCAGACCCAGAAATTGTTTTGCGGCCTCTGGGTGTACGAAGCTGAACACATGTGACAAGTCAGACTACTGGTTTATTTAGCCCACAATCATTTATTTGGAATGGCAACGGTTCTTAGACCGAGATGTTTCACACTGCGTTCTATTTAATCCTTGAACTGGAGATGCTGGGGTCTGAACCTGGGACCTTCTGTGTGCAAAGCAGAAGCCCCAACCCCTTCCTGATGGCCCTTGACTCCTCTCTTCCTTCCCTGTGGACAGATACATCCATTATTTCAGCGGGCTGCTTTCGGGCACCATCAAGATGAATAGCAACACACTATTCCTGCACCACGTCTTGCTCCCGGCTATTCCTGCCTTTGAGGCTGGAGGAGGTAAGTGAAGCAGGGCTGTGATAATGACATCCCACTTAAGGCTTGTGCATGCCAAGCAGCTTTGCACGTGTTTGTGTGAATTCCTGTGTACAGTCTTGCCGGGTTTTTTCTACCCCCATTCTCATAACAAATGGAGTTTGGCCTTGCCAGTTCCAAAGCAGCCAGCGGGAAGTCCTATTTCACACACAACAGATGGGAGGGCTTCTGGAGGTCTGGCCCTGCTGGTGGACCTCCTGATGGCCCCTGGGTTTTGGCCAGTGTGTGACACAGTGTGTTGGACTGGATGGGCCATTGGCTTGATCCAACATGGTTTCTCTTATGTTTTCTTAACATGTGGAATTCATTGGTGCAAGGAGCAGTATTGGCCTAGTTTCAGGGCCCAGAGATGCCTTCACCTTTCCCAAGCATCTTCTTCATTTGTTTTTCCTCTTCTAGGTTATCAACCTTTCCTAAAGATCTATCAGTCCATGCAGCTGGTCTATACCTCGGGGATCTAGTGAGTACTGGTTGTGGTTTCTTCTGGGACAAAGAGCAATCTCCACGGGGGCTTTAATCCCAGCTCCCCTTTTGTTTTTGTCTCTTAACAGCAGCCTGCATGGTACTGGCGGGTCTCAGAAGCTCTGCATCACCTTGGAGCCAGCCTTGCTCCTGAAGGGGGATGTCATGGTGAGTTCAGGACCCGAGGTGAAAATTGGGTTGTACCCCAACAGCTCCACTGAACGAAGGCATGAAATTCAATTATCCTATAGCATTGTGTGTAGAATAGCCAGGAGATCCATAGATTGTCTGGCAGTCTTAAGTTCTAGCTCATTAGTGTCATGCACCACTAGGTGGCGAGCTAGACTTTTTTGGGGGGCTGAGAGAGTTCTGAGAGAACTGTGACTGACCCAAGGTCACCCAGCTGGCTGCATGTGGAGGAGTGAGGAATCAAACCCAGTTCTCCAGATTAGAGTCTGCCGCTCTTAACCACGACACCAAACTGGCTCCACAAAGGCGTGAGCCTCCCTCCAGCATAAGGAGAACTTCCTCCATCTTCCGTGGCACTTCCTCTTGCTCCCTCTCTTCCCAGTAACGCACACTTCCCATGATGCCGTGCTGTAGAGCTGGGCATCTTGCTTGTCCTCTTTTCATTTATTTTGGGACAATTTAAAAATATGTATTAGTTAAATTTATATCCCGCCCTCCCTAAACGGGCTTAGGCTGGGTAACAACAAGTGTATGAACAATTAAAACCAGACAATATAATTAATTCTCAAAACAGCTAAAACACAAACACAAATATAGTTGTTTGCATTATTTTTGTCTTGGGCGGGAAGGCAGCATGGTATGGCCCCCGAGGAAGACTCTGCAGAGGCAGGCCATGGCAAACCACCCCTGCTTCTCCCTTGCCTTTGAAATTCCCTTCTTGGAGTCACCAGAAGTTGGGTCCGACTTGACAGCACTAGCATACGTGATTTCATTTTGCAATTTAGAAGTGGGCCGCAGTTACCGGGGTAGCTTACTACGACACTGCCATCCAACTTGTCAAGCGTATCGCCAACCCCGTATTGCAATCTTCGTTTTTCATTTCGGGGTCATGTAAAATAGTGGTGACCGGATCCCAAGAGAACTCAAAACCCGTCATACCTTTAATCAGCGGGACTACATTCCCTTTCCAGGACTCCTTGAAGTAAACCACCAGTTGTGCAACAAAACCCCTGTGGGCTCTGTGGGGTCTGTTGGGGTTGTTCTGGTGTGGGTGTGCATTGGCTGCTACCCCACCCTTTGATCCTTCCCCTGCCTTTGCGTGCCTGGGCTTGTAGTGGGGCGGTTCAGAAAGCGTGCACGCCAACATCTGATCGGGTTAGAACGGATAGAAGGAAGTACTTCTTCACCCAAAGAGTGATTAACACATGGAATTCACTGCCACAGGAGGTGGCAGCGGCTACAAGCATGGACGGCTTCAAATGGGAATTAGATAAGCATATGGAGCAGAGGTCCATCAGTGGCTATTAGCCACAAGGTATAGATAGGGGCTCTGGGGCAAGTGATGCTCTGTCATCTTGGTGCTTGGGGGGGTCAACAGTGGGATGGCTTCTAATGTCCTGGCCCCACTGGTGGACCTCCTGATGGCACTGGTATTTCTGGCCACTGTGGGATACAGAGTGTTGGGCTGGATGGGCCTTTGGCCTGATCCAACATTGGCGTCTCTTATGTTCTTATGTTCTTATTGCCCTGTGTCAACTCTTGCCCCCGTTTCCCACCCCCAGGTGAAATGCTACCACAAGCAGCTCCAGGGAGCCGAGCGGGATGTCGTCTTCCGAGTCCAGTTCCACACCTGTACCATCCACAGCACCCAGCTGTGGTTCAGCAAAGATGAGCTGGACGAGGCCTGGAGAGGTACGGGGGAAGGCTGAGTCCCCGAGATGCTACAGTCCTGGGGCAGCCGCGCCTCTTCATGCATTATAAAATTCTCGTGCTTGTTGGCCAACGACACAAAGTCTTTGAACCAGACATTCACGGGGAGCTTTGTGTCTCGGGTTGCCAACCTTCAGGTGGTGTAGGGTTGCCACGTCCCCCCTGGCCACCAGCAGAGGGAGGGGGGGAGACTGGCCAGATCCAGGTTGGGAAACTCCTGGAGATTTGGGGGTGGAGCCTGGGGAGGACGGTGCCATGGAGTCCACCCTCCAGAATGTCCATTTTCTCCAGGGAAACGGATCTCTGTGGTCTGGAAACGAGTGGAAATTCCAAGGGACCCCCAGCAGTGTTCCCTCTAGGCTGAGTTAGTGTGAGCCAGCGCAGTTTTTTAGCCTCCGGCTCACCCATTTTTGTCTCGGCTCAGGAAGGGATGGCTCCGGAGCAACCTAATTTATGCAGCAGCCAAATCGCTCGCTCACAACTTGAACGCCAGTAGCTTACAAAGTAGGATTTTTGCTCACCAGACTCCACAGCTTAGAAGGGAGCACTGATCCCCGGGTCCCATCTGGAGTGGAGACTGGCATCTCTAATGGTGGCTAGAGATCTCCCGCTAGTACAGCTAGTCTCCAGGCGACAGAGATCAGTTCGCCTGGAAAAAATGGCTGCTCTGGAAGATGGAGTCCATGGCATTATACCCAGAGGTCAATTCGGGGGGTATCGTGGGGGATCGCATTTCCCCTGGGTGAGGGGCGGGGCACATGACGAAGCCCCGCCCCCTGTTTCTGGCCACCCCGCCTCCGGCCCTCATTCAGCCAGGAGGAGGCAGGAGAAGAGGGAGGGTAAGTTGCTTCCTCCTTGCCTCTCCCCACCCCTGCCTGCCTGGGGCCAGGGAGGGCCTTGGCGGGGCTTCCTCACACTCCCGCTGGCCTTGCAGGTCCACCGCCGGGCCCCTGATGTCAGGGGGTGTGGCATATGCTAATGAGTTCCCCTAGCTCTTTTTCTACGAAACGACCCCTGATTATACCCCATTGAAGTCCCTCCCCTCTCCAACCCCACCTTCCTTAGACTCCACCCCCCCAAATCTCCAGGTATTTCCCAACCCAGAGCTGGCAGCTCTACAATTGTACCTCCCCAGACTCAGGTGGGCCCTTTTCTTCTTGTGAGTGGGGCGCGTGGGTGGAAGCAGGGGCTGCCTCCCCTTCCAGGCCACTTTCTCCACCTTAAAGCGTCCCCTGAAGCTGCCGCTGGCTCCGTTTGGGAAGCTGACTTGCAGTCACGTTAAGGAACTGTGTGATTTTGCAAACAGAGCCAAGTCTGACTAATTTATTGCTGTATGACATTTCATAGGCAAAAGCCTGTTTCCAGAGGTGGGCTATAAACGAGCCACATAAATAAGTGAATAAATAAAAGTTAGTGCCGTGAAGAAAAGTTGATCTTTAAAGTGGTGCCTCAAAGTTCTTTAAATCTTTGCTGCAGCGGTCCAGAGACGGATCCATGTGTTCCATAAAATCCTCTGGCAGAGTCCTTCCCAGGCTGTACCACCTAACAGGTGTGAGGGTTGAATTTTTTATAATCCATTTTTAAAAAATTCCATGCATATAAATATGAGGCAGAGGCTTGACTAGACTGCTTTCCCCCTTGAATATGCCACTTCTCCCACTGAAGATTCCCCCCCCCCAAGAACCATTCGAAAATGGAGTCCCACCTAATGATTTAAAAAGCCTAGATTTTGCTACTTTTCTGAGATATACTTCCAGAAGGTTTGTATAAACATGAAGAGACAGGGAGGAGCAGCTTGAGAAATACCTTGATCGTAGAGAGGCCTCTTCTTTCTGGAGTAGCTCTGTGGAATGCTTTGGGCTGTATTTACATCAGGCATTTCATTAGAAAAAACATCTTAACAGTATAGCCCTAATCTCCCACCTTTCCTCCTTTAACCTAGTCCCCTCTCATTTGTAGCCATGGCCCTTTTCAAAGAAACAGAACCAAAGTGATATTATAAAGAAGAGGTCCCCTCAACCTTTTTTAGGCCTGCAGGCGCCTTTAGAATTCTGACATAAAGTGCTGGGCGCAATCACAAAATGGCTGCCCTAGGAGGTGGAGGCAATCAAAATGGCTGCCGTAGGAGGTGGAGCCAACCACAAAATGTCAGGGAGTGAGGTTGCATATACATAACTGTAATGGTATTTCTTCAACATTTCAGGCAGAAGCTCTGTTTAATAGGCTGCCTTTTAAGCTGCACAGCCAATCAGAAGCCCTGCTGGGTAAATGACCCACCTAACTCCACTCACTTTCTAAAAGCACTTGGCCGCCGCCAGGAAAGGTGTTGGCAAGCGCCACAGGTGTGCACAGGCACCACACTGGTGTCCCCTGCTATAAAGGAAAGTGCCACTGAGCATGAACAGAGTGCCCTTCCCCTCACCATTTGAGCAGCTGCTGTCTGGCTTGGAATAAAGAAACAGGACTGAGCTGTCAGAGTTGATCATTTCTTTCCAAGCATTTTTCAAAGCAAACCGAAGTATTTGGGTGAAGGTGAACCACGAGGCGGGGAAATCACTGCGCTCTTCACCTCTCTGTTTTCCTTCTCCAGATGAACGTTTCCCTTTCGAAGCGAGTGTCGAGTTTGTTTTCTCTTCCAGCCCGGAGAAACTGAAAGGTGGGTGCGTGGTGCAGGGGTGGCGGTGGATGCCCTCTCATGTGTCCCACAGATGTCTCCTTGATTTCCGTTGATCTGGAGCATGGGTGACAGGCGCATTCCAGTCTGACAGAGATTTCCTGCATTCCATTGTTGATTTTGGAAGAGGAGACAAAACTGAATGTGCTGTGTGTTTGACGTGGCGTATGGGCAATGCCACTATCAAAGCTTGGCTGACTTAGAGCAGGGCCCCTAGCTAAATAAAGTCCCCTCAGCTGTGACTTTCAGCCCAACGGGATCTTTATAAATCTACTGCTCATCTGGGACTGCAAAAATCATAGGTGGTTGGCCGGCACCTTATACTTTTATTTCGTCCTTCATCGCAGGAGCTCATGAGTGGTTCCTGCCTCCCCCATTTTACCCTCTCAATAACTCTGTCATGATCTGGCCTGTGCCAGTACGGCCTAGCCAGCCTAAGAGGCCTGGGTGGCAGTAGGAGGCAGCTAGGCCTACAACTCCCAGAAGGCATTGGGAGAGGCAGAGAGGATTCTAAAGAGACCGTTGGAGTCGGTTGGGAAGACAGTCTGGGAGGAGACTGTAATAGTCTGGTGGGAGAGAATCTGAGCTGTTCGCTGAGGGAAAAGGGTGTCTTTCGTCTCTCTCTGCGGCCTGATCTTAGTGAGAAGATAGGCTGGGCTGGGAAGAGGAAGATCCCTCCGTCCTTCGTCTCTCTGCAACCTGATCTTAGTGAGAAGACAGGTTGGTCTGCGAGGAAAGGATCCCTCAGTGTGAGTGTTAGGCAGGCAGGCTGTGGGCCTGGAAGTAAAGCAGTTAGGGGTAATAGACAGCTGCGTTTATGTTTATTTTTCCTTTCACACTGTTATCCCCTTTTTAAGCACCTTGCCGTGTCTTGTTTTCCCTGCCCCACTGTTGTTTTAATAAACCCTTTTTGTGTAATTATTTTCTCTGCCTGGGTCAATCACGCCTGTATTGGTCGGCTGAAAAGGGGCTTGGGAAGGTACCCTGGGGACCATAAATCCAGGGTGGTGGCGGCTGGGGTCATGACAAACTCCATGAGGTGGATCAGAGAACCTGTGTATTGTAGTGTTTAGAGTGTCAGACCAGACTGGAATCCCACGCTGTGCTTTGAAAGCTCACTGGGTGATCTTGGGCCAGTCACACTCACTCGACCTAATTTACGTCAGAGGGTTGTTGTGAGAATAAAATGGGGAAGGGAGCCTGCGTTATGTGGAGAACATAAGAACATAAGAGAAGCCATGTTGGATCAGGCCAATGGCCCATCCAGTCCTACACTCTGTGTCACACAGTGGCCAAAAATAGAGTTGTCAGGTAGACTTACCTGGCCAGCAGGGGTCTCTTGATGTCCTTCCGGGAGACCAGAAGTGATGTTGGGCATTTTTGGGCCTACTTGCAGTCAGGGATGACATTCTGGTTTGGGGGGAAAACTCTATGGCTTCAAACCGTAGAGTTTTGCCCAAAAAACCAGAGTGTCGCCCCAACTGAAAGTAGGCCCAAAACTGGAAGTAGGTCCAAAAAGGTCAGTTGGGGGCGAGATTTCCTCCCACCAGCCAGCTGGCCGGCAGTGGGCAAGAGCCTGCAAAAGCGGGGGTTTGCCCGCTCCTACTGGGGGGCTGCCAACCCTAGCCAAAAAGCATTTCCTGTCTCTTACTACAGGTCGGGAGACGTATAGGAACAATGCTGGGACCACGGTGGATTACAACATCTCCGACCCTGTTGTGCGATGGGACTCCTATGAGCACTTCAACTTACACCACGAAGACAGCCTGGAAGGTAAGGCTTGTCTGAAATGAAGCATTTCTACAAAGTGGATATATCAGTGAGCCCTGATTACCACATTCTAGGAGCTGTGTATATTTGGGGTGGGGACCAGTGTTCCCTCTAAGCTGGGCTGGTGTGAGCTACTTAAGAGTTTTTTAGCCTCCGGCTCACACATTTTTGTCTTGGCTCAGGAAGGATGGATCCAGGGCAAGCTAATTTATGCAGTAGCCAAATGGCTCGCTCACAACTTTAATGCCAGTAGCTCACAAAGTGGAATTTTTGCTCACAAGACTCCACAGCTTAGAGGGAGCATTGGTGGGGATAGAATTTGGTTTGGGATCCAGAACTGAACATCCTGGGACTCTCCCCTTCCAAGCTGAGCCCTGAAGGCCACAAAGAAAAATCTTGTGAAGCTCTAGGCGGCCCTATTAGAAATTTCACAGCGGAAGTGTCGTCCTCTACAATTGAGACCCACCCATAACCTGTCCAGATTCGAACCCTTTCTGAGAAGTCCTTGAAGCAGTGCACAATTTTTTAAAAATCCAACCCATAAACACTCAATAACAGCAAAGATACTGAAAATGCTAAATAATTAAAATGGGTAAAAATCAGCACGACGTCTCGGAAGAAGCCTTGAAGGCAGCAGTCTTAGGGCTAAACCAGGCATGACAGCATCCCGATGGCACCAGGGTGTCATTGTGATTGGGCCTGCAGCACGGCAGGTTGAGATTATCTTGTCCCCCCCTGCACCTGCCACCACTGACGTTGCGGCATCACATCTAGTCTAGGTTTGCCAGCTCCGGGTTGGGAAATGCCTGGAGATTTTAGGGGTGGAGCCTGAGGAGAGCGGGGTTTGAGGAGGGGAGGGACTTCAGTGGGGTATAATGCCATGGAGTCCACCTTCCAAAGCGGCCGTTTTCTCCAGGGGAACTGATCTCTGTCACCTGGAGATCAGTTGTAAGCAGTGTTCCCTCTAAGCTGAGTTAGTGTGAGCTAGCTCACAGTTTTTTAGCCTCCAGCTCACACATTTTTGTCTTAGCTCAGGAAGGATGGCTCCAGAGCAAACTAATTTTATGCAGTAGCCAATTCACCTGCTCACAACTTTAATGCCAGTAGCTCACAAAGTAGAATTTCTGCTCACAGGACTCCACAGCTTAGAGGGAACATTGGTTATAAGTAGCAGGAGATCTCTAGCCATCAGGGCCGGCTCACCCACTAGGCGAACTAGGCATTCGCCTAGAGTGCTGGGCCCTGGATGGGGCACCGAGCTGTGCCTCTCCCCCCGCCAAAAGATCGTGAGCAGCTCTCCAAGTGTCAGCACTTCGCTAATTGGGGAGAGGCATCTGGTGAGCATCCCGCGCCTGGAGACAGGATCCCCCCCTCCCTCCCAAACTGCCTTTGGAAGCGGAGCATGAGAGAAATCTCTCTTCCATCTTGGAGGGTGCTGCAGGAACATGTGGGGCGTGCTTGCTGGGTCTGACAGCTGCAGGGGGGGAGGAGATGGTGGTGGTGGTAGCAAAAGGGTGGCTGGCTCCAGAGGTCTCCAGGCCCCACCGGGAGGTTGGCATCTGCACCACAAGGCAGCCTCGCCTAGGGTGCAGAAGCACCTCGAGCCAGCCCTGCTAGCCACCACCCGGAGGTTATCACGGAAAGAAGTAGACACGAGGGTAAGAAACAACCATGAAACAATAACTAAGCAATGTAAACAACTATATTAACCACAACTTATTCCACAGAAAAATCACTTTCGTACTCTAGCCAGAACGGGAGTGTCCCAGAAATTGCACATCCTCCTCCTGCGAAGTAAACAATTTACAACAGCTAATAAACAATTTACTGTTTATCACAGCTCTACATCTGAAGTTGGACTATTTGGAAAAGTCTCTATTGGAAGTTTACATATTCTGAATGGACTAATTGGCGGCACAGAGCACTGTAAATATCAGTGAACTTTATTTTTCATTGTACCTTCATTGGACTATGATGGAACTGAGTGTGACACCTTATTAAGAGTCTTTCTATTGAACCTATGGACGGTTTTTCTGTGGTATATGTTGTGGTTAATATAGTGGTTTACATTGCTTAGTTATTGTTTCACGGTTGCTTCTTATCCTTGTTTCTACCACTTGGAGGCTGGCTCCCCTTGAATGTTGTGTTCAAAGCCTTAGTTTTGTTGGCCAACAAGCACAAGAATTTTATAACGTGTGAAGAGGCTCAACTGGAGGTTGGCAACCCTAAGTCTGGCCCTTACGTGTGTAACAAAACAGCTTAAAATATCAGGCATGATGTCAATAATTGGGCAACAGGCCCATGTAGGACTGCCAAGTCCCCCCGGGGGCGGGGAAAACCCCACCCCAGAGGCCCGTTCCCTGCCACCGGCGGATCGGGCCTCGGGGGGAACCCCACCCCTGCGTGCGCGTCACCAGGAAGTGACGTTATGACGCCGGGCACGCTGGGGGCGGGGCCACGACCATCCGAGGGGGAAACTCTATGTTTCCCCCTTGGATGGTCGTGGCCCCGCCCCCAGCGTGCCCAGCGTCATAACATCCCTTCCTGGTGACGTGCGAGCGGCGCGCACACGCACGCATAGGACACAGGACGGGAGTTCCCTGCTCCCGACGATTTTCGACTTGGCAACCCTAGGCCGGTGGCTATGGTGGGGCCTCCCAGGGCCCGGCCCCCTGACTTCTTTCCAAGGCCCCATGACTTTTGGGGATACGCGAGGGAGAGGCGTGGCCCCCGCTTCTCCCCTAAAGCATTTAAACTTTAGATGCTTTGGGGGGAGAAGCTGGGGCCATGTGCCTGCACTCCAAGCCGTGAAGCACATGGCCTTCTCCTTTCCACTTCTCCCTCAAAGCATTGAAAGGGACCCTTTCCCTAGTGCCGTGTGACGGAGTGAGCTCCCGTCTCTGGCCCCAGCTCCTGCCAGCCTAGCAGTTTGAAAGCAAGAAATTGCAAGTAGATATATAGGTATCGCTTCAGTGGGAAGGTAATAGCGTTCCATGTGCCTTGGCATTGAGTCATGCCGGCCACATGACCACGGAAACGTCTCTGGACAGCGCTGGCTCTTCGGCTTGCAAACGGAGATGAGCACTGCCCTCTAGAGTTGGATTTGACTGGCTTTCGAGCAAGGGAAACCTTTACCTTTAAATGCTTTGGGGGAGAAGTGGGGGCTGCGCGTGCCCCCCCCTTTTTAAATGGCCCTCCCAAATTGAAAAATCCTGGCTACGGGCCGGTTGGCCAGGCCACATTTTTAAAAAAACACGTTTAAAAAAGCAACAGCCCAGCAGATCTTTCCAGGAGCGGGAATGAAAATGATCTGGGGAAATGTTTTCAGCTGGCACCAAAAATGCACAATGCTCGGCAACCGGGCAGAAGGCTGATGGGAGAGCACTGCACAGTTGTTTATATGAGGGCAGAGCCTAAATATGTCTCCCTTTTGTTGGTTTTAATGAAGTTTGGTATTTTGAACATACACCCCCCACACATACACACATTGCCCGGCCTGGATGGGAATGCGCCTCCCACAAGCACGCAGGTCTGGCCACAGTGGCTCCTGGGAGCGGTAATTCCCCACAGCTGGCTCCTGCTGGGTCTCTCCTGATTACAGTTTCCTCCTAACGTCCACCTAAAGTAAACTCGTTAAGAACTACAATAAATAAAATACCAGAGGGAGTAGTCAAACGGCAGTTGAATAGTCGCAGTGCACCCACACGGCCAGAAAAATGATAGCAGGACGGGATAAAGCCAACTCCTCCTTCCCATCAAGAGCAGATGTTGGGAGAAGGGGAAAGACGGTGCTTTTTGGGCCCCAATTTTGTATTAAAGGAGCGTTATAAATATTTGAGACGGGGAGTGAGAGAAGGTTGGCGAGTTGGATGCCTGGATGACAGGAAGGAAATGGCCTCTTGGAAGGAAATGCCATCTGGCCTCAGCCAAAGGTGATCGACCATCGCCCTCTACTGGAGGAAGCCTGAATAGATCCTCACCCTGGTCATTAAACCACACTTGGGGCCAAACTGCAACTGATGCTGGGGCGTTCCAAAACTGGAACTCGGGAGGTGGTATTGGGCCCTGAAAAAGCAGTTGCTGGGGGGAACAATAGGAACTAGGGCTGTGGCACTAGGGAAGGGAGGATTAATTCTCCCACACACACACTGAGGTAAATCTTACCTAGGCTTGCTAACTCCAGAATGAAAGATTCCTGGTGACTTAGGGATGGAGCCTGGAGAGGGCAGGGTTTAAGGAGGTGACAGACCTCAGTGGAGAGCCAGTTTGGTGTTGTGGTTAAGTGCGTGGACTCTAATCTGGGAGAGCCAGATTTGATTCCCTGCTCCTCCACATGCAGCAGCTGGATGACCTTGGGCAAGCCATAGTTCTGTCAGAGCTGTTCTGTCAAGGACAGTTCTGGAAAGAGCTCTCTCAGCCCCACCTACCTCACAGGGTGTCTGTTGTGGGGAGGGGAAGGGAAGAGAAAGGAGTTTGTAAGACGCTCTGAGATTCCCAAGTGAAGGGTGGAGTATAAATGCAATCTCCTCCTCCTTCTCCTCCTCCTCTTCTTCTTCTTCTTAAATAAAGAGTCTATTTATTTATTTATAACATTTTTACCCCGCCCTCCCCGCGAACGGGCTCAGGGCGGCTTACACGAGGGCACACGCCCATACATAAAAACAGTATAAAACAGTAAAACTATTAAATTGCAACAAAACAAAACAAAGTGCTCCATACAAACAAGATGGTCTCCGAAGATGGTACCAATCATGTCATTAGGGTGATATCGTCCTGCCGATGGTCCAGAGCCAGTCCAGCAGTATCACTGCCATGCAAAGTTGTGATAGTTCTTCCGGGGACCGCTCCAACCCCGTTGTTCCAGTGGCGGTAGTGGTGGTAGTGCCATGCTTTCCAGGGGAACTGATCTCTGTGGTCTGGAGATCAGTTGTAATTCCAGGATATCTCCAGGCCCCACCTGGAGGTTGGCAACCTTAATCCTACCCCCTCCTACCGTTCTATTAAGCAAAGTTTGGAGCCTTCCTCTGACTCAAGTGTCTCTGGGAATCTCTTTACTGAAGCATAAACCAACAGAATTAGACCTTTCGGTGCAGGTGTACACAGGTGCATGCCTTTGAGCGTGCCAGCTATGCATTAGTGAGACACCAGGCGACACAGGCTGGGAGGCCTGCCGATTGTATGTATTGCTTTGCCTCCTCCATCTAGGGCTGCCAAGTCCCCCTGGGGGGCGGAAATCCCCCCGCCCCAGAGGCCCGTTCCCCGACGCCGGGGAATCGGGCCCCGGGGGGAACCCTGCCCCAGTGTGCACATCACAGGGAAGTGACGTCATGACGCTGGGGGCGGGGCCACGGCCATACAAGGGAAAACTATGGTTTTCCCTTGTATGGTCGTGGCCCCGCCCCCAGCATGTCCGGCGTTATGACGTCACTTCCCTGTGACGTGCATGTGGTGCACGCGCCGGGATCTGCACGGGAGTCCCCCGCCGGCACGGTAAGTGCCACTTGGCAACCCTACCTCCATCTCTGACCAGTGTCCCGCTTCTCCTATACAGATGTCTCTCACACCCGGGGCCCGCTGGATGGCAGCCTCTATGCCCGGATCAAGAAGAAAGGCGACCTTAGCGGCTTCTCTTCTAGCAACGGCAGCGCCAGCAGCCCAGAGTCCCCTCCCCAGCAAGGCGGGCGCCTCCTTTCCATCAGCAGTGACTCGGGGCACTCCTCCATGCTGACCGAGAAAGCAGACGACAGCACGCCGCCATCCAGGCTCCAGCCCACGCTCGCCGAGAAGGAGGAGCTGGACAGGCTGTTGGGCGGATTCGGCGTCCAGCCTCCGCCCCGGCAGCTGGGTGAGGGAAACGGTCCTCATGAGGTTTCCTCCTCCGCTGCTGCCCCCAAGGAGAGGGAGACGGCCATTTTGGAAGATGAACTGTCAGACGTGGGTCCTCCTGAGCCCCACTTTTCCTACCAAACTCAGCGCCCGGGCCTGGCCCGCCACTGTTCCTGTCGCCTCGGTTACCATTCCCACAGCCCCGAGAGGGCTCACCCTGTGGCCTACTACAGGCCAGACGGCACGTTGGAGCGGAGACAGCCGATCTACAATGGCGGGCACTCTCACCTGCACCCTGAGGGGTACGAAGAGAAACAGAGGGTGTACCGCTCGCTGTCTGAAGGCCTACAGCCCCACTCGTACCCCTTCACCCACGAGCCGCTGCCCCCTCACAGCCCTAGCAGGCGGGAGCACGAGGAGCTGGTCATCTTGGAGGACCCGCCCACTTTCTTATGCCCTTGCCAGGATTGCCAAGAGGCCGCTCGCGAAGAGGCGAGGGTGCCCACTGCTTCCTTCTACGGCCTGCGCCTCGACCGGGAGCCGGATCTGTGGGGGGTGGAGAACGCGAGGCCGTCCCTCCTCCATCATCCCCTCCATCGGGGTGGCCAGCCCGTGCCTCTTCTTATGCCGGCTGCCTTCGGGCACCACCACCTGTCCCACGGGCAACACCAGGCATTCAGCTTCGAGCCCAAGATGGTGGCCCCACCACACCTAAGCCATGGTTACCCCACCCACCAGAGGGCAAAGGTCATGGAAGAGACTGCAGAACCGTTTCCCTACCACCGCTACGGTCCGGCGTATCCTCCGGTCGCATCGTACGCCTACGGCAGGGCCTCAGCCAAGGCCTGCATTTCCCCTTATGCCTCAGGGTACTCAGGGTCTCCCCGCTCTGGCTCCATTTCGCCAACCAGCCCCCTCTATCCACCCACCAGGAAGCATGCGTATGAGCTCCCGGAGAGCGGCGAAGGGTACCTGCTACCGGGGCCCCCAGAAAGGCCGCGTGGTAAGTGACCAGCACGGGTGTGTGTGTGTTTGGTTTCCAAACTGATAGGAAGAGGTTATCCAGGCGCGGAGGGGGATAAATCACCAAGGGATCTCTGACGGCACCTCTCTTTTATTTTGTGTGGTTAGGTGTGATGTAGTTTTACATTTCTTTGTTGTTTCTTTCTCAAGGCATGTAACGCTGCCACCAGGAATTTAATTCCAGTCTTTAATTAATCTTTCCCACACTATTGTGCCCAAACTCTAAGGCGCCTTCATTGAACTATGTGGTTCGGAGGATAAGACTCTGAATTCACAATAAACAAGACAAACTTTATTGGTAAAAGAAGCGGATTGTTAAGTTGCTTAGTAGAATCTTTCCCTTTTACTCAGGTCTCTGTCAGCTTTTTCCTTCACACTCTTAAAATACTCTGACCATATTAGATTTTTCCTAATATTCCCCCCCCTTAAGTATATTTTCTTCCTCCTTTAGAATCTTAATGCCTTTCACAGCTATATGATTCTAGTTAGAAGACTACTTCTCAGACTCTGTGTGGATTGACCACAACTGCCAGCTACTGACTGCTGACTTCAGACTTCCGACTGAACCCCCTTTGCCTTCTCCTTCTCTCCACACACACACACACACACACACACACGCGCACACACACACACACACACACACCCCTCCTAGCTCCGCCCACACACTCTCAGTCACCAACCAATCACCTCACTCACTCTTCTCCTTCTTTCACCCCCTTGTTCTTCTGACACTTACCAACCACTTCTGACACCTACCAACCATTTAAAGAAACACACACATATAACTTGAAATCGTTACAGGATCCTTTTCCTAGAGGGTTTTTTTTTACACTTTGTGTTTATTTCGAATGTTCCGAAAGCACAGTAATATTATACAGGGCCAACGCAAGTTGCAGTGTCATCCAAACAAATAATAACCCCAGAAACTTTAAAAAACAAACAAACAAAAAACAGCCAGAATACAAACATCAAACATACCTGGAATCAAGACAGCGTGAAACTTAGAATAATGTCACAATCCCTTACCAAGATGTTTTGCAAGTGTAGAAATACAGTTGTTTGACCAGTATTGACTGGTATTTATGAGAAGCTTTTGTCCAGGACTTACATTTCCTCAAATAACATACCATATAGCACAGCAGAGTTACGAGAGGCTATAAAATCAGGTATTAACCAGGAGAGTTCTGTGTTGTCGTTGTTTTTTCAAAAAATATCAAATCATGGTAGTATTTATTTTTAGTCAGAATGTCAGGTTCTGTGAGATATTGGACATGAGGGAACCATAGCGTCACAAATATTCCTTGAGTTGAGCACTATGAGATGAAATTTTACCTGAGGTAAAATACTCCCATAGCCTAATCCTCCAGTCAGTGATGGAGGACATTGATTTGTCTTTCCAGTGAGAGGCTATAGCCGGTCTCGCCACTGTCAGAAGCAAGGTAATTATTTCAAGCTGAATTTTATTCCTAGTGGTTTGATGCTCAACAGTCAAGGGCCCTGAATGATAAGACTTGAAAGTATCCAGGAACACAACTCTCTGTTTGGGGTGTATGTATGTGTGAGAGAGGCTGGGAAGTGTGTTGAGAAAAGTCCTGGAGAATCTCTGGACTTCCCGAAGGACAGAGCACTTGCTTTGCTTATGGGTTCAGTCCCTGCCCCACTGAGGCCCCTTCCTTTAGCAGAGGCAAAAATGGGGGGCAGGAAGAAACCTTGGGCTTTACCATAGAGACTGAGGAATTCCTAGAGCGTTGTGATGTCACTTCTGGGTACTCAAAGTCCCTGTCCTCCCACTGGTTGCCAGGGCTTGATTGGCACCCTGCGCACAGTTGATGTGTGTCAGAGTTATCATCAGATGGGGGGGAATCCAAATACAATGTGTTTAAAAATGGTAAAGTGTAGTTAGACCACTGTCAGATAGCTGGCGCTGGGGATTACATTCCTCTGCCTGAAACCCTGGAGAGCTACTGCCAATCGGAGTGTAGAACTAGACGGACACACAATCTGACTCAGTTTAAGGCAGCTCCTTATCTTCATATCTGTCATCTAAGGGTCTGAGATCGAGGACCCGGTCCTTGCTTTGGGTTTGTTTTTGTTTTTTTTGGGGGGGGGGGGGAGGGTTGTATTTTTTCATATGCATATGTGTGTGTGTGTGTGCACCTTGAAGTCATGGCGACCTCTTATGACTGACCCCTACTGGGGGCCTGGAGGATATTCAGAGAGATGGCTGAATAAAACCTGCCCCTGTCCTTCCGAGTCGACTGCTGGTATTGCAAGGAGGTGTCCAAGCACTAACCACAGTCAACCCTGCTTAGCTTCCGAGATCTGACAAGATCGGCCTTGCCTGGGCTATCCAGATCAGGACCTGGCTCCAAAAAGCTTGAATGTGAATGTGTCGGCCTTACTTGGCGATGTCCTGGCTGACCATGTGGGTTTCCTCTCCGCTTGCTTTCCACAGAGCTGCAAGAATGCAGAGAGGCCGGCCCCTGGCAAGAGGCTCCCGTTCCGCAGCATCTGCAGGAGGGACACGCGACCTACACGGAGGTGTCCGGCCCTCCCATGCACACCAGCAGCCCAGTATTCACCAACACCAGGCGAGTATCCTGCAGAACAAGGGGCTTTGCACTCCCTTTGAAGCGTAATGGGGCTTCTCAAGTGAGAAAGGAAAAAAAGAAAAAGGGAAAGAAAAAAGAAGAAGCAGTCATACATGTTGCTGTGGTTGCCAACCTCCAGGTGGAGCCTGGAGACCTCCCAGGATGACAACTGACCTCCAGGCTACAGAGATCGGATCCCCTGGAGAAAATGGCTGCTTTAGAAGGTGGACGCTGCGCTCTTAGACCCTGCTGAGGTCCTTCCCGTCCCCAAACTTTGCCCTCCGCAGGCTCCATCCCTCAAATCTCCAGGAATTTCCCAACCTGCAGAAGGCAACCCTACACTCTCCTGATCTTTAGCTTTAGAGGAGCATTGGGTGTGTTTCAGGGGATATGCTGTTGGTCAGAAAGGCTACTAAGGTGTTTATGCAGAGAGAGCAATTATGTAAGGCTGGGTAGGATCCTGTGGGCTCCTCGGGTCACCCAGCCCTGTCAGCTGCAGTACGGCCCCCAGGAACTTGCAGTGGTGGCGCTGTGTATCAGCTGAGTCCTTCTGCCTGCAGTTGTTCCTCACAGTACAGGGAGTTGTCCCTCTACTGGCATCGTAGACACAGTCAGCTTGGTGTAATTGTGACAGTATTGGACCAGGAGCTTGGAGGACGTGATTCAGATCCATATTTTGCTATGGAAGCTCTCTGGATGAATTAGGCCAGACACTCTCTTGGCCCTAACCTGCCTCTAGGGTTGGCAGGTCTTACCTGGCTGCTGGTGTGTGTGTGTGTGTGTCCACTCATGCTCTGGAAGTCTTTTGGTGCATGCACAAAGTGCACGCACCGCAATGATATCATCACACTGGACATGTTGGGCAGGGTGCTCTAGCATTTTTTGGGGGGGGGGACCCTCTATGGTCACCATAGAGTTTTTGCCCAAATGCTAGAGTGTCCCCCGCCCGATGTGCCCAGCACAATGACGTCACCTCTGGGTGATGTCATTGCACCGGGCATGTTGGGCAGGATGGGGCTCTTCGGGGGTGGGGCTCCCCCCACTGGCCAGCTGGCTGGTGGTGGATTGGGGCCCCTGAAATCAGGGAAAACCCTGCCGCCATTGGGGGATGGCAACCCTACCTACATCACAGGGTTGTTGTGAGAGTAATATGGAGGAGGGGTAGACTGATGTATGTACTAGATAAATACATAAAATAATCAATACATGGAAGTACTGCAAGCATGCGGTCTGAAAATATTTTCCTGTAGGCTTCCGTGGGAATAATACTATGTAAGCTAAATGTTGTAATTTGCCAACTACAGAGACCAGAGTTCTCTAAAAAGAATTACAGCCATCAAAATAAGCTGTTAATAAGTTTTAGAGAGATGCATTCAAGATCAGTTAATGCACATATTTTTACCTCATAAGCTCCCTTTAGCACTTGCGCAGAAAGGTAGTGCCAAAATCTAATAAATAATAGTGTTCAATGGTTTAGGGATATGCTTGGCCATGATTTTCAGATTAGAGTTGCTGTGTATTACTCCATCAACGCAGGGCAGGGTTAGGGCTGCTAAGACACTGATGAGGGTGGGAGATGGCCCACCCCCTGCTCCCATTGCCTGCTTCCGCTCCAAGCAGTAGTGGGGGGATTTTTTTTAGAAAACACTTCTGAGAAAACCCAGAAGAGACTGGAGGTAGCTCTAGGAATCACTGGAAACTCTACACCATCACTTCCAGTTGTCCAGAGAAGTGATGTCATGCCAGCAAGGCCTCCCCCTCACCATATCCACACTCCCACCTGTTGCCAGGGAGACCAGGTGGCGGATATGGGGGAGTGTCTATCAGCAATGATGTGAGGTATCTTCTGGGAAATCCAGAAGTGATGTCACGCCTCTCAAAGACTTGCCAGAACCTCTGTGGTAAAACCAAAGAGTTTTCAGAGATTCCTAGAGTGGACTGAAAAATAATTTCTTTCTTCTACTGTCCACTGGATCACCAGCAGGCAAGGCCCAATAGGGGTGGGAGATTTCCAGCCCCCAACGGGCACATGGTAACCTTAGCATAGGGATATTTTCCTGTGCATGCCATGCACAGTTCTCAAAATTTACTCACTGTACACTTGCTGTCTTGCAGCCCTGGATCACACAAGCACAGCAACTCAGCCACCAACCCGCTTGAAATCACACTTCGGTCAAGCCCTGAGGAGCTGCCTTCTCCTGGCTGGAAAAGAGGCCCAGAGAAGACGGCTTCCCCCAGCAGTCCCACACAGACTCAGACTCCATCCCCGATGCAGGCCTTCACCCACCTCCCTGCCTTCAGGCCACAAGCTAACGGAATGTCATTGAGGCTAGGCCTCCAGTCCCCACAGCCATGCTCCCGCGCTCACTGCACATCCAGCCCACCACATGTCACCCCCTCACCCACATCCAAGCATGGCGTCCTGCAAGAGGCCCCGCCACACCAAAATGGATCGGAAATGCCCAGCATTCGCACGGCTGCAGCCTCCCGTGAGTTGTCGGTGGAAGACAAGTTAGGTCACCAAGCAGGCCCTGTCATGGAGAGACAGGCCCAGAGGAGCAGCCCGGTGGTTGCCCGCCACAGCCAGCCCCAGTCCACTTGCAGAACTGTGTCTAGCGCGCCGGCATCACCCCAGAGCCCAGCAACCTATAACGGCCGCCCGCACAATGAGAGAACCGGGCCTGAGATGAGCACCCTCCCTCGTTGCCCCAACAGTAGTCCTTCTCTCGGGCCCTGCTCCCTCAGCATCCAGCCGCCAGCCCCCGGCTATGGTTTTACCGACACGCAGGGCTCACCGACCCCGGCCTTCCCCATTGCGACGGCCTATTATACAGGGGCAGAGAGCAGCCCCTCCAGTCGGGATCACCTCAGTGAACCGCAGCAACCTCCCCTGCCCGAGAAGCAACACGTGCTGGCCACCAGGAACTGGGAGAGGACGTCGCCGCCTGGTCGCAGCCCTGGCTCTGCTCACCACGTCACCTTTGCGCCTGGCGTCCCTGACGGCGTTACGGCTGGATCAGGTAACTTGCTTCAGAATCAGGAAGCCCCTGTGGCTCTACATTTTTCTGCAGTTGTCTCGGAATGTTTAAGACTTGGGGTGATTTCCCACAAGCGCTGCTCTGTGCTCACTCTTCTCTTTGGCCTGATGGTACGTGTCAATTTCACACAAGCGGCTGCGCGGCTGCATTTTGCCTCACAGCTTCGTGCGATTTTCCCCGCGTCTACTCAATCCTGTTTTTTGAGGACTGAGTAGATGCGGGGAAAATCGCACGAAGCTGCGGGGCAAAATGTGGGCGCGCAGCAGCTTGTGTGAAATTGACACGTACCATCTGGGCAAAAGGGAGGAGTGAGCGCGGAGCAGCACTTGTGGGAAATCACCCACAATCTGGTGATATAGCCTTCTTTCCTTAGACTGTACCGATCAGGCTTGCCAGGTGTCCACTTGTGGTGGGCAGTCTCCTGGCAGTTATTGATGAAATTGGGAAGGGTGGAAAGGCCTAATATGCCAGTGGTGTGCCTGCACTGGCATAATGGACGCTCTAGGATTTCCTGAAGACTCTATGGTGATTATATTTTATTTTTCAAAGACTCTGTGGTAAAACTTTAACGTTTTTGAAAAATACCAGAGCATCACCAACGATGCACTGACGTCGTTTCTGGGCACACACAGGAAGTGACGTAAGCCTATTGCTGTGACTGTGAGCCCCCCTGTGCAGGGTAAGTCTCCTGCTCAGAGTTGCCACTTTGGGGGATCTATGTTCTAATCTACACCTGGAGGGGGAAGAGACTGAAATGAGGCAGGTGACTGCTGAAATGGCAGAACAAGAAACAGCCCTTGGTTTCTGCATGGTTATCTGCAGTCTGGGGTCCTGGTTTCATCAGCCAGCCACAGCTGAAATCAACCCACGGTTTTTGCATGATGTGTGAACTGGGCCATTATTATTTATTTATGTATTTATAGCCCGCTCATCCCACAAGCTGGCTCAGGACAGGCTACATCATATTAGTAGTACAATTAAAATTTAAAATACGACAATACACATTAAAACAATAAACACAGACCAACAGAATCTGCTGGCTGTGAGAAGTTGCCTAGCATATCACATGGCTTAGTAGGTGGGTGGTAGGTGGGTGACAGCAACCCGAGGGAGGCCATACACGGACGCCCGCTGCCTCAGCCAAAGGCCTGGTGGAACAGCTGCGTCTTGCAGGCCCTGCGGAATCGAAGAAGGTCCTGCAGGGCCCTGGTCTCGACAGGGAGCATGTTCCACCAGGCAGGGGCCAGGGCAGAAAAGGCCCTGGTCGAGGCAAGGCAGACGTCCTTTGGGCCAGAGACAACCAGGAGATGCTGGTCCGTAGAGCGTAACGCTCTTCGGGGCGTGTACTGGAAGAGGTGGTCCCTCCGATATCAGAATCGTCTCCCCTTTTGATACCCTTGAAGCACTTCTGCTCGCCTGACTTCAGAGAGAAAATTAACGTATCCCATGTTGGCTTCCTTCCAGAACCACAGCAAGAGAACCAGGTGAACGTCAAGTTCGTCCAAGACACATCCAAGTTCTGGTACAAGCCTCATTTGTCCCGGGAGCAAGGTACAGTTCCCAAGAGTTTCTGACTGGTTTGGCTGGATTTAATGAAAAGGAGTGTTTGGCTGTTTCTAAGGTGAGGATCCCCGGCATGGCGGCCACGGGCACCATGGCACCTGCCAACACCTTTCCTGGAGCCCACCAGAAAGTTTTTAGAAAGTGGGCAGGGCCGTGTGGAGCTTTTGCCCAAAAGGGTTTCTGATTGGCCACTGGAGTTCTGATTGCCTGTGCAGATATTTTAAAAGTTGCTTTGCTAGCAACTCCCTCCACAGCACGGGGATCTTCCCTGCATGAGTGAAGATAAGCAGTGTGTGCGTGTGAGAAAATATTTTTGAACGATATGTTCATTTTATAAGGCGCCCTGTTAAACAGAGCTTCTGCCTGAAATATTGAAGAGCTGCCATTAGAATTATGCATATAGCCACACTCCCTACCATTTTGTTGCTGGCTCTTCCTCCTGAGGCAGCCATTTTGGGGTTGGCTCCACCTCCCCGCCATTTTGGGCCTGGCTCTTCCTTTTGAGGCAGCCATTTTGAGGCTGACTCCACCTACTGTGACAACCATTTTGTGGTTGTGCCCCATACCACTCTGTGTCAGAATTTAGAAGGTGTTTGCAGCCTCTAGAACAGAGGTGCCCAAACTTATTTGGCCCACAGCCCCCTTTTCAGGAAAAAAAATTACTCAGCGCCCCCCTGAAAGTCTACCTTCAAGAAGTTTACAAAAAGATGCAGTGACAAATTTGCACATGGTAAATAAAGATGTTGTTGGCCTGAAGCCAGAGGCCAGCAGCAACCACCACACAATAGCCCAGCAGCAACACCAGTCTTACAAGGGTGCACATGCATTTGCAGTTTGCAAATGCTTGGCTGTGGGGACCCCTCTCCACCTCCACCTCCCTCCCTGATCCCAGGGAAGACCAGGAGAAGGCAGGAAAAGGCTGCTTTAGATAGGTTCTGGACTCTTCTTTCTTTATGCTTCCACCACCCCCTTATTTTAATTCAATGCCCCCCAATTGCACCCAAGGCTCCTACCGCCCACCTGGATCATTCCAGCACCCCCCAGGGGGCAGTATTGCCCACTTTGGGAACCAGCGCTCTAAGAGATTGGGGACCCCTGCTCTAGGGGAATCTTGGCAGCTCGACTCCAGGTTCAAGTCTCCCTCTCTGCCATGAAAGATTGCTGGGTGACCTTGGGCCAGTCACCCACTTTCACTCACGCTAAATAACGCACTTTCAATCCACTTTCAATGCACTTTGCAACCGGGTCTTACTGTGTGAAATGGCAAAATCCACTTGCAAGCGGTCGCTGAAGTGGATCAAAACGGCATTATTCAGCATCCGTGAAAGCCACGACATTCTCAGCCTAACCTGCCCCACAAGATAGTTTCAAGAGGGGGGCCATGTTGGTCTGCAGGCCAGGAGCACCTCAGGGGAGGGGGGGGGGGGGGGGGGGGGGACTTCCAAGAGAGAAAGCCCCCGTGGTCAGATACGTCTGATGAAGGAAGCGTTGACTCTCGAAAGCTCACACCCCGAAAATCTTGGTGGTGCCAGTAGATTCAAATCTAGCTGCTCTACCCCACAAGGTTGTTGTGACGATAAAATGGAAGTGGAGAGAACAATGTAAGCTGCTTGGGGTCCTATGAGTAGCAGGATTTTTTATTCCCCCCCCCCAAGAAGCTCAAAATAGGGACACCCTTTGCACATTGCAATGTTCCCGGCGGCCCAGTTGTCATGAGGGTCTTACTTTGAAGGGCAGAACATAGTGGTTAATCCAGCCCTGACTGCACTGCTGGCTTTTACGTGAGATGCCCACCTAACAGTCTACTGGTCCTCCTCATACACAGCCATAGCCCTCCTCAAGGACAAGGAACCCGGAACCTTCCTCATCCGGGACAGCAACTCCTTCCAGGGGGCCTACGGGCTGGCTCTGAAAGTGGCGACGCCTCCGCCCAACAGCATCAACCACTCCACCAAAGGTAAAACGATACCAGCGGGCCCCTTCCAAACTTGCAGCGGGAGGTGCCCCTGTGTCTCAAGCTGGCGTCTCGCTGTGCCGAAATACCTAAATTATGGTTTCATGCTCACTGTTTCCAGAGGGGTCGGTCTCCTTTGGCCAGGAGAGCACGGGAGTCTGATGTGTGTCTTTGTAATAACTTGCTCATTTGCAAATGCGCAGGCTGAATAGGTATATGGAGGGGCCATGGGTCAGTGGTAGAGCATATGCTTTGCATGCAGAAGGTCCCAGGTTCAATCACTGGCACCCCCAGTTAAAAAGAACAGGTGGAAGGTGATGTGAAAGACCTCAGCCTGAAATCTGCTTAAAAAGAACCACAGGGTTAGAGGAGCAGTCCCAGTTCCTAGAGGGTTGGAAAAATCCCTCTGGCTGAGGCCCTGGAGAGCTGCTAAGCAGTACAGAGCAAGACGCACCAGGGGTCTGATTCAGCACAAGGCCATTGTCCATGCTTGTGTCTACAAGCAAGCATACAAACCGGCAGACGTTAACAAGTGTCGTTCCCCTTCCCTCTCCCAATCTCCAAGCCTGTTTGGCTCTCTCTGTTCCCCTCATACACATGCTCCAGGCTCAGACTGAGGCAGTCTTTCAATGCAATTCAGCATACATTCTAAGAAGAGCAATGGTTAACATCGCCCATTAGTGTCTGTTGCCCTCCATCAATGACCATCAGTGACCACCCTATGAGCAACAGTTGATACTCCCCATTAGTGTCTGTTGCCCTCCATCAGTGACCATCAGTGACCACCCTACGAGCAACAGTTGATACTCCCCATTAGTGTCTGTTGCCCTCCATCAGTGACCACCCTACGAGCAACAGCTGACACTCCCCATTAGTGCCTGTTGCCCTCCATCAGTGACCATCCTAAGAAGAGCAACGATTAACATTGTCTGTTAGTGTCTCTTACCTTTCATCAATTACCATCAGTGACCATCCTAAGAAGAGCGACGGTTAACATTGCCCATTGGTGTCTCTTGCTCTCCATCACTGGCCATCACTGACCATCCTAAGCAGAGGTGTGCCCTTTTAAGTCCCTTGAAGCCAATGAACTTAGAAGGCTGTACTCTGATTAGAACTGCACACTGAAAGTCACCAAACGCCTAGGGCGTTTTCTCAGCATTGTTCAATATTACACGTTCCACTCACATTACAGTACCTGTTGGTAGACTTACGCTGTCCTTTCTTGAGTGATCGTCTGCAGAAGGCCGTGCATTCCTCACTATTAAAGGTTCTGCTCACAACGTTACAGCCTCCCTTGGTAGACTTATACCCTCCTTTGTTGACTGATCGTCTCCAGAAGGTTGTGCATTGCCAACTCTTTAGCCAGGAACACCATAGACTTTGTCGCTAGTGAGCAGATCAGTAGGAAGAAGAACATGGAGAAGAGTCGGCATAGGGACTAAATTAGCACCCACAACAGTCTCAAGCTCCTCTTTTTGCTGCAGGAGATCCTGCCGAACAGCTGGTGCGTCACTTCCTGATCGAGACGGGGTCCAAGGGGGTGAAGATCAAGGGCTGCAACAATGAACCCCATTTTGGTGAGTGACCAGAATAAAGGGGGGGGGCTCTCTGAATTTGTAACACTTTTCAGATCAAGAGGGTACCACTTCCAGGAAGTTCCTGACCCCGCCTCCAGGAGGAAGCACAGTGGGTAGTCATCCTGGCATACCAAAAGGAATACTGTGTCCTCCTGCCCCCGGCTGCCTCTTTTCTCTCCTCCCCCTTCCAACTCTGCGGGGCTTTTTCTGCACAGACAGCAATATGTTAGGAGCACATCAGCTTCAGAGCATGAACCCCACAAGCCCGAAGGAGAGGCGAACGTGCTTCTTGACACTCCAGAAAGTTGCTGACGTAGGATATAATGATGACGGCTACCTGAGATTTCCAAAAGGAGATCGTGCAAATTCATAGAGGCAGAGTTAGTTAGTTTGTTTTTAGGGAAAGTCTGTGACTGCGTACTGATACGTGACTGGAATATGTGCACATGGTATGTGCCACTATAGCACACCTGTGTGTTGTCCTTGTGTGTGCTCGCATGCATTGTTGCTTAGACACCACTCATGACACTTAGCAGCCTGTATGTTAGAGAAAATGATCAGAATTATGAGTTTGATGGTGCTAGAGAGAAGCAAGAACATCTGCGGAAAAAGCCTTCGGAGGGTATCTGGTAGGGTTCCCATCCCCCTGAATTTGTGGCCATAGTTAGGATTCTAGAAAGTGTGTACACACACGATACTCTGTAAGCCGCCCAGAGCCCTTCGGGGGTGGGCGGGGTAAAAATCCCATGTTGTAATAATAATAATAATAATAATAATAATAATAATAATAATAATAATAATAATAATAATAATAATGAAGGATTTGATACGTGATTGGAATCTATGCTCATGGTATGTGCCACTATAGCACATTGTCCTTATGTGTGCTCACATGCATTGTCGCTTAGACATATCCCATGACATTGAGCATCCTGTATAGAGCAGGAGAAAATCATCAGAATAGCAAATTTGACAGCGCTAATACAGAAGGTTCAATTTTTGAATTGCACAGATGTTCTTTTGGAACTGCGCTCTCTGGAATTGGACGTTTCATATCCAGATGCTCTGTTAGCTCTTTAAAGGGAAAGAAATGCAGATACTCAATTTTTTTTCTTTCAGTAAATGCTGGGAGTTAGTTTTGATTAGAAAAACCATGAAAGTGGTGGGAGGAACGCCCTCTTCCTTGCCCTTGTGGCCCCAATTTGAATTGCATCCTCTAATTCAACTAGAGAAATCCAGTCACAGATCTCCCAGGGAATCATCTGTTTTGACCTTCAGAAATTGAACCAAGTGAGGAAAATATATTACACAAGGAATGGCAAAAGCCATTCAGTGTCCCTAGACCAGGGGTGTCAAACATAAGGCCCGGGGGCCAGAACTGGCCTGCCCAGGGATCTTACGCAGCCCACAAGCAACTGGGGCAAGGGAGGGAACAGGAGACTGCTCGGGAGGGAGTGGGCGGAGCCACTCCGACTGTGGCTTCAGCATGGTGGAACAGCCTCATCTGTTGCAGTCAAGCAGCGTGGGAGTGTCTTCCCAGGGCTGCACCGCTGGCTCTGCAGCCTGCCCATGTGGGTTTTCCTTTGCACCCCCCTCCCAGCCCATGGGGCCTTGCAGTGGGGATACACCAACTGGGAGCTTACCAGCTGCTGTCCTTTATGCAGTTTATAGCTCCGGTACCTGGCATTATGTTTTATGGCACACACGGTCTGGCCCGACAAAGTGGCACTTATGTCAAATCTGGCCCTCGTAACAAATGAGTTTGACACCTCTGCCCTAGACCATATGACCTGGGGTTAAATGTCTTCGTAAACTCCAAATCCATAGATCAGGCCCCTCCTGTTACCGTCTTGGTACCTCTTTGTTACCATCTGTATTGTGACCTTCCGTTTTTGAGGACACAAAATGGTAGCCACCAATGTTCCCTCTAAGCTGTCGAGTCTTTTGAGCCAAAATTCTCCTTTGTGAGCTACTGGCATTAAAGTTGTGAGCGAGCGATGGGGATACTGCATAAATTAGTTTTCTCTGGAGTCATCCTTCCTGAGCGAAGACAAAAATGTGTGAGCCAGGGGCTAAAAAACTGCGAGCTAGCTCACACTAACTCAGCTTGGAGGGAACACTGGTTGCCACCTTGGTCTATCCAAGGTAGGGTCCTCATAATCTGGAAGCCCTTTCTGCCTTTCATTGTCTGGCACCAGGGCACCATTGCAATCGCTGTGATGTAGTTTGATCACCGTCATCTCATGATTCAGCTTAATAGTTTTAATCTTGATTTTATTGTTTTATGTTAATGTCGCAACCTGCCCTAAGCCCCGCTTGTGGGAAGGGCGGGATAGACATTGAACCAAATAACATAAAATCGTGAATAAAATAAATCCCGAGCCTGGAGCAAAACCCATTTGTCTGGGCCTTGTCTCCGAGAAGCCGTAGCTTAGAGGCAGAGCCTCTGCTTTGCATGCAGAGGGTCCCAGGTGCAAGCCCCAGCGTCTCCAGTTAAAAGCATCAGGTAGGAGGCGATGGGGAAGACCTCAGGCGGAAACCATTTCGTGCATCCCTCTCTAGCCCCTACATTTCCCTAGGGGGGGAAATTGCACTCCCTGGTTGGGAAGGCGAAACAATAAGAACATAAGAGACGCCAATGTTGGATCAGGCCAAAGGCCCATCCAGTCCAACACTCTGTATCACACAGTGGCCAGAAATACCAGGTGCCATCAGGAGGTCCACCAGTGGGGCCAGGACACCAGAAGCCATCCCACTGTTGACCCCCCCCCCCCAAGCACCAAGAAGACAGAGCATCACTTGCCCCAGAGCCCCTATCTATACCTTGTGGCTAATAGCTACTGATGGACCTCTGCTCCATATGGTTATCCAATTCCCTTTTGAAGCCGTCCATGCTTGTAGCCGCCGCCACTTCCTGTGGCAGTGAATTCCATGGGTTAATCACTCTTTGGGTGAAGAAGTACTTCCTTTTATCCGTTCTAACCCGACCGCTCAGCAATTTCATGGAGTGCCCACGAGTTCTTGTAGTGTGAGAAAGGGAGAAAAGTACCTTTTTCTCTACCTGCTCTTTCCCATGCATAATCTTGTAAACCTCAATCATGTCACCCCTCAGTCGTCGTTTCTCCAAGCTAAAGAGCCCTAAGCGCTTTAACCTTTCCTCATAGGGAAAGTGTTCCAACCCTTTTATCATTCGAGTTGCCCTTTTCTGCACTTTTTCCAAAGCTATAATATCCTTTTTAAGGTGTGGTGACCAGAACTGCACACAGTATTCCAAATGAATCTGCTGGGTTCAGTGAGAAGGAGGGTGTCCTGTTCTGGGAGAAGTGGGAAGAAGCATTCTAAGTCATGCTTTCTCTTCCTGACCTTCTGCCAGGGAGCCCAAGACAACATGCATGGTTTTCCTTTTCACCCTTTTTATTGTCACAACTGCCCTGCGAGGTAGCTTAGGCTGAGACAGTGTGACTTGCCCAGGGCCACGGGCTTTGTGGCAAAGAGGGCTTCGGACGCAGGTCTTTCTCAGATCCCAGCATGGGGATGACGACACCACACTGGCAGGAGACAGATGGCTTGTGCAGTTGTGGCCCTTGTGCCCTGCCCTCCCCCCTTTGGTGTCGTGGTTAAGTGCGCAGACTCTAATCTGGGAGAAACGGGTTTGATTCGCCACTCCTCCACTTGCAGCTGGCTGGATGGCCTAGGGCAAGCTGTAGTTCTGATAAGAGCTGTTCTTGAAAAAGAGCCGTTTCTGCCCAGAGATCTCTCAGCCCCACCCACCTCACAGGGTGTCTGTTGTGGGGAGGGGAAGGAGAAGGAGTTTGTAAGCCGCTCTGAGACTCCTCTGGGTAGTGAAGGGCGGGGGTATAAATCCAATCTCTCCTCTTCTCTTCTTTTGCAGGCAGCTTACCAGCGCTGGTGTCGCAGCATTCCATCACCCCCATCTCGTTGCCGTGCCGCCTTCGCATCCCCAACAAAGGTAAGTGCTCCGGAGGCTGTTCTGAGCCCAGAAATCCTGGGCGGGGGGAGGGGGGGGGCGATGTTGACGGGTCAGAAGTCCGGAAACAAATCAAAGGAAGGTCTTGATGGCAGCTTCCCCCAAAGTTTTAACATTAAGCCAGAAGGGGAGGAGAAAGGTTTACTGCATGCAGAGAAAGTGCACCAGGATGGGCAGCCGCGTTAGTCTGTCTGTAGCGGCAGAAAAGAGCAAGAGTCCGGCAGCACTTTAAAGACAGAGTATGAGCTCATGGAAGCTCATCCTCTGCCACATCTTTTGTTAGTCCTTAAGGTGCTACTGGACTCTTGCTGTTTCCTACTGTTAAAGCGCATCAAGGAGTTTAAACTTCTGTGCTAGTTCAGGCCCTGCTTCCCAGGGGTTGATTCAGCTGCTCCCGGCTCTGTTGTACAAGCAAGCCAAGAGTGTCACGACCCTGGTGTGGTTTGCAGTCGCTGTATTAGCATGCTCAGCGCACACAGACCTTGACCCCCAGAATCCTCCATCTGGAGGCAGCCCGAGTCTCGATTCGACTTTCCCAACCCACTGGATACTTTTATAGAATCCTTAAAATGCTTCCATCCCACCAGGGCAGGACTTTGTCCTTACCACCTCCCTGGACCTCCCACGATGAGGCTAAGTGCAGATTTTTATGTTGTGTGTAGCTCCAGGTTGCTTGCTCCTTTTCCTGCAGTTTGAAAGGGGAATCCGCTCCCGTTGGGGAGAGAGAGGCTGTTCAGTCCTTTTCCTGCTGGCACTCACCACCCCCACATGGCCAGCAGACCTATCTGCAATAGCTGGAGTTCTGTCCTAAGAGATGTTGACATTCAGTGTGCTTCCAAGTCAAGAGGGGGTTTGTACCCGGGTCTCCTGCCTCCAAGCTCTGTTGCTCTAACCACTGCACATGCTGTCTCCCTGGATCTTGGGCCCTGTTGCTTCTCTTTGTCTCCTTCCTTCTTTTCAGATCTCATGGTGGAGAGCCCCGAGCTGGCTGTCCCCACCAACATGAGCACAGCCGCAGACCTGCTGAAGCAGGGGGCAGGTGAGAAACCAGAGTGGACGGGAATGTAACTGGTGGCGCGTTGTTTGGGCAGGCAGCAATTTAGGCAAGTTCACTCGCTATCTAGAAAGTCTCTTGGTCTGTTGGGGGTATGTAGCCCCAGCTCCAAGAAAAACCGGAAACTTTCAAACAGATGATAAAAATTCAAACCCAAACACTATGCCCATAAAAACCAAGTACTTCAGTTTGAATGGGGTTATCCAAAAGGTTCCTCTACATTTATTCTGCTTCCTAGAGTCTCCACATGTGGAAGGGGTAAGATCCGAGAGCTAAGGCTTACTGGAAACCCTTCTTATGGGAAGAATATCCTGCCTATTCATTTACAAGGTTATCTCTACTGCTAAAAAGGCTAGAAGCTTATGGGGTTTTTTAATGAAATTTGAGATTCTTCATTCAGCACTAGGTATCAAGTTCTGTCCAGCGTCACTGGCACAGTTGTGTAATACACATCTGCCCTGGTTAGAGAGAGATCGAATGTTTCAGCCAAGCTGGATGCAAACTGCCAACTGAGGTTGAGCCGTAGCATTGGGCTGTTTCTCAAAGATAATAGGCTCGTTAAGACGCTGAACTGCAGGCTGTGGAAGGTCGGCAGTTCAGCAGTTCGAGACCCGAGTGTGCCGCATGACGGAGTGAGCTCCCGTCTCTAGTTCCAGCTCCTGCCAACCTAGCAGTTCGAAAGCAAGAAATTGCAAGTAGATAAATAGGTACCACTTCGGTGGGAAGGTAACAGCGTTCCGTGCGCCTTGGTGTTTAGTCATGCCGGCCACATGACCACGGAAACGTCTTCGGACAGCGCTGGCTCTTCGGCTTTGAAACGGAGATGAGCAGTGCATCCCTAGAGTCGGACCCGACTGGCTTTCGAGCAAGGGAACCTTTACCTTTATCTCTTCAACAGTTTTGGCTGGGCAGCACCGCCTCTCTCTCTCTCTCTCTCAAGCGGGAACATATATTGGGAATACCTTGTCACGTGTAGGAGGCAAGGTCTAAGTTTAGAACTAACCATTTGTTTTAGAGGGTAGCGGTGTTCCTCTGGCAGTAGAGCAGCTAGGGTCGAATGCAGTAGCACCTTAGAGACCAATAAGGTATTTTGGGGTCTCTGACAAAGGGAGCTTTGATTCTCAAGAGCTTATGCCCCCACAATCTTGTTGCCCTCTAAGGTGCTATTGGACTTGAATCTAGCTGAACTAAACATTTGGTAGCAGGTCTGCATCTGGCAGCGCCATCCTCTGCTGGCCTACTTGGAATTTGACTCGAGTGTATTCAGGGATGCTCTAGGCTGGTCCTGCATTGATCAGGGGGTTGGACTAGATGGCCTGTAGGGCCCCTTTCCAACTCTGTGGTTCTACGATTGTATGAATGGAGCTCCCTCTTTGGAACACACTCTTAGGATCACACTATAAGAAACCCAGTTGATGCCAAACAGCGAACCAAGAAGCAGGGGCGGGAGGTGAGGGGAGAGGCGGCAGGGAGGAGAGGATGCTTTGACTCTTTCCCCTCCCCCTCACTTCTCCCCCAGCTGGATTCCCAGATGTTTGTGTGCGTGTGGACACCTGCTGTCAAACATCTAGCTCCCCTCTGTGTCTTAGCATGGAGAGTCATAAAGGAACTGCCTTAGAACGAGTTGACCCAGCCTTTGGAATATTGTGGGAGCATTTTGAAGTCCGAAAGGGAGTACGGTGAACTTGAAAAGACCCACGGGATAGTAAAAGCACATTTGGTTCGGTAATGACAATTAATAATAATTATCATACGGTGTTGTGTGTGTAGTCTAGCTAGGAGATGAGGAGATGCAAAGATGGTCTGGCAGCCTTAAGTTCTAGCTCATTAGCTTCATGCACCACTAGGTGGCGAGCTAGACTTATTTTTTGGGCTGAGGGGGCTCTGAAAGAGCTGTGACTGGGGCTTCCGGTCGAGCTAAGATGGAGGACTGAAGCGTTTCGCGATCGTGCGAAGCGAGCGACGGCCACTTTTGACAGTTTGGGCAACATACAGCCCAACGCATCACTCCCCAGCGAGGGGGGGGGACAAGCAGGCAGCAGCGCCCAAGAGGGAGTGTGAGGTTGGCGTGAAGCAGCTTCGGAAGAAGCTGAATCAGGCTTTGACCTCCTCCCACGAAGACGGCAAGTGCCAAGCAACTCTATAGTGGCCGATCGAGCCGGATTACCGGCATAAATTCTTCGTCAGCCGACCTCTTTGAAGAAGGACAACAACTGTGAGCCTCCATGGAAGCAATGGAGAAGAGAATGACAGAGGCAATACAAGCCATGGGGGAGCAGATAGAAAAAACATTGGGGGACCAACTGGAGAAGCAAACTCAGATTCATCTGAAACATCTAGAAGAAGTCCAAGAGAAGAACATAACAGCATTGAAGGAATTGGTTACTACAGAAATAACTTCAATCAAGCAAGAAATGGAAGGAGTTAAGAAGGATGTTCAAGCAAATGCAACCAAGACTACAGAGACAGAGGAGAAGATACAAAAAATAGAAGAGAAACAAGATTCTTTGACTCAACAAATTACAAGATCAGAGACAATGATGGAGTTCAGAAGGATGCAGACTCATCTGAGATTCAGAGGCATTAAGGAAACAGAGAATGAGAACTTAAAAGAAAAAATGATGGAAGTGATAACGGCTTTTCTGGGCGAGGAGGAAGGGTCAATGGACTCAGACTTTGATTTGATTTATAGAGTGAACTCCAGAATTGCAGAAAAGAAGAATTTACCAAGGGATGTAATTGTACAATTTGTAACAAGATCAATAACAGAGGAGATATTCAAGAAGCAATTCAACGTCCCTTTTGTAATAGAGGGAAACAAAATTATGGTGATGAGAGAACTCCCAAGAACAATACTGCAAGACAGGAAAAGGTATAAATCCTTGGCGGACAAACTCAGAGCTTTGAGCATCAGATATAGATGGGAGATTCCACAAGGTTTATCCTTTACGTATCAAGGTGGGAGGATTCAGATCAGATCGATGATGGACTTTTATAAATTTAAGGCGGACAATGCGGACGTCTTTGGAGAACTTTAAAATAAAACGCATAATGGAGTACAAATTGTTGTCATGGAATGTTAATGGATTAAATTCACCAAACAAGAGGAAAAGAATCAATCATTGGATACAGAAACAGAAATGCAACGTGATATGCTTGCAAGAAACACATATTAGAAAACAGGATATAAAATATTTAAAGAATGCTTTATTTGGAATTGAATTTTGTTCTGCGGCCTCAAACAAGAAAAAAGGAGTTGTGACATATGTGAAGAAGGAGTTACAACCTACAGAAATTTTTAAGGACATAGATGGCAGATACGTGGGTGTGGAATTAATGATTCAGCAGAAAAAAACATTGTTGATCAACGTGTACGCACCCAATGGAGCAAAGGAAAAATTTTTTAAGGATATAACTGACCAATTACAACAATTGACTTATGAGCAAGTTATTATGGCCGGAGACTTTAATGGGACAATAGATCGTCTAGACAGAAAACCACAAAAGGACAACGAATTCAGCGGAAAATTGCCAAAGAATTTTTTTGAATTAGTTAAGCAAGAAAAATTAGAAGATGTTTGGAGGAAATGGAACCCGATGCAGAAAGACTTTACTTTTTATTCCAATAGACATTGCTCTTTTTCCAGAATTGATATGATTTGGATGTCTGAAGAATTATCAATGAAAACACATAAGACTGAAATTTTGCCAAGATGTAATTCAGATCACAATCCGGTGGTATGGAGTTCCACAGAAAGGAAAAAACCCTTTCTGTGGAGGATTAATGAAGACTTGTTGGATAAGAAAACGGTAATTGAGATGTTAAAGGAAGAAACGAAACAATTCTTTCAACAAAATTTAAATAAAGAAACACCGATACAGATTGTATGGGATGCTTATAAAGCGGTGATGAGAGGAATTCTCATCTCGCAAAACGTGAAGCAAAAAAAGGAAAAACTTCAAAAACAAACAGAAGTGTTAGAAAAAATTGCTCAGAAAGAAAAGGAATTAAAAAAGAAGCCTGGAAAAAAGCAAATTATTAAAGAATTAAAGTTGCTGAAGGAACAACTGAATGAGACTTGGAATCAGGAAATGTATTGGAATTTAAAGAAGTTACAACAGAAATCTTTTGAAGGGGCGAACAAACCGGGAAAATACTTAGCTTGGCAACTTAAGGCTAGAAGAGAGAGAAGAATGATAACCAAAATAATAGAAGATGGAAAAGAGTTCGTTGATCCTAATGGAATAAAGAGATGTTTCTTCAAGTATTATGCTAAACTATTCCAAACAACTAGAGTTGATCTTGAGAAGATTAAAACATATTTAAAGGAGATTCCACTACCAAAAATAAGTAAGGAATACAAAGATTTATTAAATGGTCCAATTCAAAAAGAAGAAGTGATGAAGGCAATAGAAGAGACAAAGTTGGGGAAGGCGCCTGGGCCGGACGGATTTACAGCGAAATTCTACAAAAAGATGAAAGAAGAAATTTCCCCGGTCCTGGAAGCTTTAACCAACGAAATAAGAGAAAACAAAAAGGTGCCGGACTCATGGAAAGAAGCAATTATTTCTTTGATTCCAAAGGAAGGACAAGATTCAACAAATGTAAAGAACTACAGGCCAATATCTCTTTTGAACAACGATTATAAAATCTTTGCAAAAATTATTGCAGAAAGGGTGAAAAACTATTTACAAACGGTAATTTCTGAAGATCAAGCGGGCTTTTTACCCAAAAGGCAGATTAGAGACAATGTAAGAATAGTAATGGACGCAATTGAATATTATGAAAAGCACCCAGAAAAAGAAGTAGCTTTTCTGTTTGTTGATGCAGAAAAAGCTTTTGACAATCTTAATTGGAATTTTATGCACCAGATGATGGAAAAGATTGAAGCGGGACAACATTTTAGAAATTGTATTGAAGCTATCTATTCTGAACAAAGAGCTAAAATAAATGTGAATAAAGAACTGACAGATAACTTCAAAGTACAGAAAGGAACAAGGCAAGGTTGTCCGTTATCACCGTTATTATTTATCTGGGTATTGGAAATACTTTTACAAAAAATACAGTACGATCAAGAAATAAAGGGCTTGACACATAAAGGACACCAATACAAATATCGAGCATTTGCAGACGATGTAATGTTTATGGTGGAAAACCCAACAGAAAAATTGACATTGCTTTTTCAAAAAATAAAGGAGTTTGGAGAATTGGCCGGCTTTTACGTAAATAAGAATAAAACAAAACTTATATGTAAAAACATGATCAAACAAAAACAAGTGGAACTACAAGAACTGGTACAATGTGAAGTAGTTAAAAAAACAAAATACCTTGGAATTGAATTAACGGCAAAAAATATAGACCTATATAAGAATAATTATGAGAAATTATGGACTAAGCTGACTCAAGATTTTAAGAAATGGGATAAAATGAACTTATCACTGATGGGAAGAATATCAGTTATAAAAATGAATGTCCTACCACGTTTGATGTTCCTGTTCCAAACAATACCAATTCTGCATAAAACGGATTTGTTGGCCAAGTGGCAACAAGAGTTGTCAAAATTTGTTTGGGCAGGCAAGAAACCAAGGATCAAAATGAAAATACTTTGTGATGCCAAAGAAAGAGGAGGTCTACAAATGCCAAATCTTAGACTATATTATGAAGCGGTTTGTCTAACATGGATGGATCAATGGGTGAAGCTTGAAAATGACAGATTGTTGGGGTTGGAAGGGCATGATTGTAGATTTGGCTGGCATGCATATTTATGGTATGACAAGATAAAAATGGACAGTTTTTTTAAACTTCACTTGGTGAGAAAAGCTTTGTATATGGTATGGACAAGATATAAGAAGTACCAGAGTGACTTAAGACCATTGTGGATTGTACCAGTAGAAGTGTTGATATCTTACTCAAGACAGCGAGGTAGAGACTGGTTGCCATATAGAGATTTAATTAAAAAAGAGGGAACAGAGTGGGTAATGAAAAAGCAGAATGAAATTGAATATGAATATGAGTGGTTGAAATATATGCAGATTTATGATCTTTTTAGATCTGACAAAAAAAACTATGGTTTTAGAGAGGAAAAAAATGAAATTGAAAAGGTTTGGGAGAGTGGAGGAGGAAAAAATATTTCTAAAATGTATAAGGTGTTGTTAAAATGGTATACTGAAGATGAAACTGTTAAAGAACAAATGTTAAAATGGGCTATTAATATGAATAAGGAAGTGGCTATGGAAACCTGGGAATATTTGTGGAAAAATTCTATTAAGATCTCGACATGTACTAATGTTAAAGAAAATTGTTATAAGATGATGTATAGGTGGTACATGACACCTAAGAAAATTGCAAATATGAATCAAAATATGTCAAACAAATGCTGGAAATGTAAGAGGCATGAGGGCTCATTTTATCATATGTGGTGGACTTGTGAGAAAGCTGTAGACTTTTGGACAAAAGTCCACAATGAAATGCAAAAAATACTGAAATGTTCTTTTAAAAAAGCACCGGAAATTCTGCTTTTGGGACTTAAAATGGAAGAAGTCAATACGACTAAAAAGACTTTACTCTGGTACCTGATAGTGACAGCGAGAATGATTTATGCTCAGTTTTGGAAGACAGAAAAGGTACCAGAGGTTGAAGAATGGATACAAAAAGTTCTGTTCATGGCACAAATGGATAAGATTACAAAAAAACTGAATAACAAAGAAGACGATGAGTTTTTTGGAGAATGGAATGACTTTAAAATTTATCTGGAAAAGAACTGGGATGTGAAACAAAACTTAATATGTTTAGATCAATATTAAGTCAAATGATGTTATCTTTAGATTGTAAGAATGAAAAACTGATATTGTTGATGATATGAAGTAATTTGGAGCAGGGGTGGAAGCATTGTGGGAAGCCATTGGAGGGAGGGGAGGAACTGGGAATGGGGTAGACAATTGATAGAATGAAATGTTTTATATGTTGTATTCCTGAGAAAATAAAAAATTTGTTTACCAAAAAAAGAAAAAAAAGAAAATCGGTCATCCAGCCAGGTGCAAGTGGAGGAGTGGGGAATCAAACCCGGTTCTCCCAGATTAGAGTCCGCGCTCTTAACCACTACACCATACTGGCTCTCATTTGGTTCTGGTACCATCATCGAAGGTACCAGATATTGCCAATATGCTTTGACTAGGTCCAGGATGGTAACATAGGTAGCGCCCACTAGCTTCTCTAAGAGGTCATCTACCAATATAGTAAAGGTAAAGGTTTCCCTTGCTCGAAAGCCAGTCGAATCCGACTCTAGGGTTGCGGTGCTCATCTCCGTTTCAAAGCCGAAGAGCCAGCGCTGTCCGAAGACGTTTCCGTGGTCACGTGGCCGGCACGACTAAACACCAAGGCGCACGGAACGCTGTTACCTTCCCACCGAAGTGGTCCCTATTTATCTACTTGCAACGTCTTGCTTTCGAACTGCTATGTTGGCAGGAGCTGGAACTAGAGACGGGAGCTCACTCCGTCATGCGGCACCCGGGTCTCGAACTGCTGAACTACCGACCTTCCACAGCCTGCAGTTCAGCGTCTTAACCACTTGGGCCACCGCAGCTCCTCATCTACCAATATATGAAGAGATTATTCCAAGTGTTGTGACAAATCTGGACAGGGAAAGGCTCACAAAAAACTCTGACTCATTAAGTGTGGGTCTTTGGGAAAGGTGGGAAGCCCCTTTGTTGACATGGGTGATCTCTCTCTCTCTCCATCCACCCAACCCGATAGCCTGCAGTGTGCTGTATCTGAGCTCCGTGGAAACGGAGTCCTTGACTGGTCCACAGGCTGTGGCCAAGGCAACCACCAGCACCCTGAACGCCACTCCCCGTCCTTCGGCCTGCGTTGTGCACTTCAAGGTGTCAGCCCAGGGCATCACGCTTACAGACAACCAGAGGAAGTAAGTCTATCAATCCTTTCCATGTACTTGCTGTTTCTTGGACTAAGACCCTTCGCGTTCCAGTCCCTGGCTAGTGCACTCTTATCTTGACTTCACTGACCATCTTGGTACTCTGTGCTCTCGAAATTTGCACTGGATTGGACCAGCCAGCTTTTTTGCTCACTCTCGTCCGATTCTCCTCTTTACTACCATCCTGACAGCCACGTAGCTTTTGTCTGTGTGAGTCCCGTGATCTTCAACATAGCCTTTTTTCTCTCCTCTCCTTCCTTTTCCACCAGCAGAAAAACTGGCTGGCTGAAACCCATTCTCTCTTCCCGCTTCTGGGAATGTCAAAAAACAAGAGTAAAAAACAAGGACGGGAGGAGCCAATGATCAGGAAAACCGGAAGTACAACTCCCCAGAGACACAAAATAACTTTTAATATGAATTGAATATTAATAAGAAAATAGTATCTTCATAACAACATATAAGACATAAATGGTGCTTACAATTCACCAAGTAAACTTCTGGTTTTCCTGAACAGCAAAGCCCCCAGCATGGGTTCCACTTTCTCTCTCCCACACACACCTTCCTTTCTCAGGAGATTTCAGGCCAATTTCCTTCTTCCCGCAGGTTGTTTTTCCGGCGTCATTATCCTGTCAGCAGCGTCACCTTCTGCAGCACGGATCCTCAAGACCGCAGGTAAACCCCCCCGCCCCCCGTCTCGGTCTGGTTCATCTGGAGGGTTCGGCAGAGTTTGCACCTCTGCCTTGCTGGAAGAATGCCATTCCTTATCTGACTGCCCTGTGCCTGTTGGAAAATTCAGTATGTCCCTTTTTGCAAGAAGGCCTTGGGAACAAGGGGCAGGGCCTTGAAGTTAACAGAAGACCACTTACTTAGAGGAGGTCCATCTGGGCGATCTCTCCTGGGCTTTAGAAGAAAATGATTCTTCCCCTACTGTGGAGAGAGTTTGCTGAATTCACAGGGCAGGCGTGTTTGTTTATTTCATTAGGCTTTTTTACCCTCCTCTCCACAAGCAGGCTCAGAGTGGTGCACAACCAGTTCATATAAATACACATAAAATACATTTCAACAGTCTAAAATATAATACCACAAACCCCTAACCCCCATCTGGCACCATAATACAATTTAGGTTCCTCAGTTTACTTCAGCAATTGGGGGGGAGCAGCTAGTGAACCAGCTAGTTGTTAAGACTGATCAGGGGTCATTTTCTGCGGGAGTGCACAGGAGCGGAGCTCCGGCAGTAAGGAGCCCAGGGGGCAGGCACATGCAACAAGCCCCGCCCCCTGCTCCCAGCAGCCCTCAGTCGGGCCACGAGGAGCAAGAAGCAGCCAAGTAAGTTGCAGAGCCCTCCCCCCGGCCCGCCTTCAGGTACAAGCTCTCCCTTCTCTGTGAGGGCAGATCTGCACTCCCCCCCCCAATAGCTAGCAATCCAAAACAGTCCAGTGGAGCCTGAGCGGCGGGTGTTGCCTTCTGACACACTTCCGGTGATACCAGGGGGTGTGGCATATGCAAATGTTATGCTAATGAGTTATGCTAATGAGCTCCTGCACCTCTTTTTCTATGAAATGACCCTTGAGACTGATTAAATCTATTAAAAACTGTTAAAAACCGTCGCTGGCCTCAACACTATGCTTGGCGGAACGTCTCTGCCATGCAGGCCCTGCGGAATTGTAACGGATCCCGCAGGGCCCTGATGTTGGCAGGCAGAGAGTTCCACCCAGTCGGAGCCAGGGCCGAGAAGGTTGTTTTGGGGCTAAATGGATACAAAGCGCTCTGGTTCAAGGACCACCTCTGTTTTACCATTAACGTTTTGTTCCCGTCAGGTCCATACATTTAGAATGTACTGTTTTAATTCAAAGATGTTTAGTCCACTTCCCCACACAGGTGCACTGGTAGTACCTCACCACCTCCCCCCAAATCACATCTGACCTTAAACTGAGGTATATAAGAAGCGGTTTAGGAAGCTGTGCAGCACTTCTGCTGTTCCCAAAGTCCATTGGAGTGGGGTGAGCAGTGGCAACTTGCATTCGAAAGAAAACGTACTGTTGATGGGAAGGGGCCCTGGCTCAGTGGCAGAGCATCTGCTGGGCACACAGGAGGTCCCGGGTTCGATCCCTGCCATTTCCAGTTGAAAAAGACCAAGTAGTAGGCGATGTGACAGACTTCTGCCTGAGAGCCACGGCCAGTCTGAGTGGAGAGTACGAACCTTGACAGACTGATGGTCTGTTTCAGGACAAGACAACGTAATGTGTTTGTATCACTTAAAAAGGAGCTGTGGTGGCCAATGTTCCCTCTAAGCTGAGTTGGTGTGAGCTAGCTCACACCAACTCAGCTTAGAGGGAACACTGGTGGTGGCTCAAGTGGTTAAGACGCTGAACTCCAGGCTGTGGAAGGTCAGTAGTTCAGCAGTCCGTGACCCGGGTGCCATATGACAGAGTGAGCTCCCGTCTCTAGTTCCAGCTCCCTAGAGTCGGATTCGACTGGCTTTCGAGCAAAGGAACCTTTACCTTTACTTTTAATCACTTAATAATCTTCAACAGGCAGAATGACTGCTTTGGTTAAACACCCATTACCTTTTCGAGAGGCTTTCCTTTAAAGCCAGTGCATATGCAGTACTTTTTGGATAGCGTTAGGCAGTACTTTTTGGATAGTGTTCTGTCCCTTGCAGTACAAATCTCTTTATTTAATTGCAGGTGGGCAAACCCTGACGGCACCACATCCAAGTAAGTACTGGAGAGGGCAACGACCCTGCTTTTCACTGTCAGATGTCAAATGCAGCCACTCTTTTAGCGTCCATGCTGTGCCAGGGCATGGGGACCTTAGAGGGCCTTTTGCCCAGTCAAGAATGGCAGAAGCACACCCGGATTCTGAGGGCCACAATCGTGATTGCCTGGCTAGAGTAATCTATTAAAATCCTTTGGGATGATGGCAAACAGTGCCCCTGGTAAGGACAGGACTATTCATGAACATAGAGGGGGCAAGGCGGGCACTTGCCGCCTCTCAATCCGAAATGTATTAATTTTTTTAAGGCCCGCCCACACGTACAGGTCACCCTAGGCCTCTTACCGACTAGCTGGAGGCGTGTGTGTGTTGCCCTCCCCACACCAAACTATTTCTGCAGATGCCTTCAGTAGTACTTCTAAGCTGCAGAACATTTAGAACAGGTCTCGTTCCCATTGTTTCCCAACGAGTTCTGCTGCCCCAATCATGTGTTGTCATGGAAGAGGACATTCCACCCAGGGTCGCCAGCCTCCAGATTGCACCCGGAGATCGCCCGCTTTTATCATTGATAGCCAGATGACCAAGATCAGTTCCCCAGGAGACAATGGCTCCATTGCAGGGTGGATTCCATGGCCTCATACCCTGCTGAGGTCCCTCCCCGGACCCCACCTTTCTCAGGCTCCACCCCCAAAACCTCCAGGAATTTCTCAGCCAAGAGTTGGCAACCCTAATTCCACTGTAAGCTGCTTCTCCGATGTGTTCCGAAAGTGGGACGTTGAGCGGGAGGGGTTCTTTAGGCCTGTATTAGGAAGCAAGGAAAGGAAAGGAGCCAGAATCCATTGATCTCCAGGAGGCCACGATGCAGCGAGTTACCTCTAGCAGCCGTGCTTTCACCAAAGGTAGCAACGGGTGGCCAGTCAAGCGGCTTGAAATGACTCCTGGGGGTGTGGTGGGGGAGACTCAAAGGAGGCTTTGGAAAAAGTGCAGAAAAGGGCAACTCGAATGATAAAAGGGTTGGAACACTTTCCCTATGAGGAAAGCTTAAGGCGCTTAGGGCTCTTTAGCGTGGAGAAACGACGACTGAGGGGTGACATGATTGAGGTTTATAAGATTATGCATGGGAAAGAGCAGGTAGAGAAAGAGGTACTTTCCTCCCTTTCTCACAATACAAGAACTCGTGGGCACTCCATGAAATTGCTGAGCGGTCGGGTTAGAATGGATAAAAGGAAGTACTTCTTCACCCAAAGAGTGATTAACACTTGGAATTCACTGCCACAGGAAGTGGTGGTGGCTACAAGCATGGACGACTTCAAAAGGGAATTAGATAAGCATATGGAGCAGAGGTCCATCAGTGGCTATTAGCCACAAGGTATAGATAGGGACTCTGCGGCAAGTGATGCTCTGTCATCTTGGTGCTTGGGGGGGGGGTCAACAGTGGGAGGGCTTCTAATGTCCTGGCCCCACTGGTGGACCTCCTGATGGCACCTGGTATTTCTGGCCACTGTGGGATACAGAGTGTTGGACTGGATGGGCCTTTGGCCTGATCCAACATTGGCATCTCTTATGTTCTTATGTTCTTATGAGGCCCACACAGCTGTTGGGTGGTGCAGAGGGGTTTTGGTGCTAGGAGCTGAACTGTGACGTCCCACTTCTGAATGTGTCCCAGGGTGGCCCCAATTCCGATCCTGAGACTAGCATGGGGCGGGGGGGAATAATCAAATTGGGGGCCAGTATCATTTTGCAGACACACATATTAGCATTTTTTAAATTAATGTGGCAGTGATTCTGTCTCTCGCAGGATCTTCGGCTTCGTGGCCAAGAAGCAGGGCAGCCCGTGTGAGAACATCTGCCACCTCTTTGCCGAGCTGGACCCCGAGCAGCCAGCCTCGGCCATCGTCAACTTCATCACCAAGGTCATGCTGGGAACTCACCGGCGATGAGAAGGAGCCGAAGGGCTCGGCTCGGGAGGCCCGATTTCATCCTCCCCTGTTGGACTTGCTGTTCTTCAACAGCCCCAAGGGGTGGAGTCCCCTCTAGTGGAGGAGAAGCTTTAACTGGGCAGGTTGACCAATGTAGGCAGAGCCATTCTAGGAATTTCCTCCTTCCTCTCTCTCTCTCCCTCCTCTTTTATCCGCCAGCCAGCAAAAGGGGGAGAAGGGGAAAGGAGCTTCTGACATCTCCCCTGCCCAGCCCAGCCCAGCCATGGCTCTAACATTTTCCTGCTAGTGGCAAAAGCTTCGGTCGAGTGGGAATTAGCAGAAGGCCACCCAGGTCCCCATACTGGCAACCTCTCCCGCAGCTCAGCAAGAGCAAACAGCACGAGGAGGTGGTGCCAGGCAGCAGCCACTAGGGGGCAGCATCTCGTGCAATCACAGGGTAGACTAGAAGCAGGAGCTTGGAGATTCCTTTGACCAGTCAGTGTTGCCCCAGAATGACTTCGAAGGCAGAAATGGGCCAGTCTGCACAGCAGGAAGTAAGTAGGGCTACTGCCTCACTGCAAGGGTATTGTTGGCAAGGGAGGAGCATGTCATGCTTCAGAAACCTGATGAAGTTGGGAGGGGAGCCGCTTGCGGGGGTGGAAGGGGTGGTTGGGGGGTAAGGAAAATGTTCCGCTTGTTTGCATTGACTCATGTGCAGGTAGCACTTTGCAGCAGAAGAGCAGCTGCAGGTTCCCACCCTTTTCTTGTCGCTGAGTCTGTTGTAGATTGTAGTCAGTTCCCACCAGGCTTTTTGCCTCCTCGAGCTTGAGTCCCAGCATGTAGTAATTACCAGGGGTCATTTCCTGCAGAAGCACACAGGAGCGGAGCTCCGGCAGTAAAGAGCCCAAGGGGTGGGCACATGCAACAAGCCCCACCCCGTTCCCAGCAGCCCTCAGTCAGAGCAAGAAGCAGCCAGGTAAGTTGCAGAGCTCCCCCCGGCCCAAAACAGTCCAGTGGCACCTTTAAGACCAAGTTTTATTCAGGTACAAGCTCTCCCTCCTCTGCGAGGACAGATCCACACGTTCCCCCACACACCAATAGCTAGCAATCCAAAACAGTCCAGTGGGGCCTGAGCGGTGGGTGTTGCCTTCTGACACACTTCCGGTGATGCCAGGGGTTGTGGCATATGCTAATGAGCTATGCTAATGAGCTCCTGCACCTCTTTTTCTACAAAATGACTCCTGGTAATGATCGTGTGCGGACAACTTGCAGCTGACTTATGGCCACCCTGCATGGGGTTTTCAAGGCAGGAGGTGAGCAGAGGTGGTCTGCCATTGCCTTCCTCTGCAACAGTAACCTGTCTTCCTTGGTGGTCTCCCATCTTAAGTACTAACTGTGGCCGACTCCTGCTTAAGCTTCCAAGCTCTGATGAGCTCGGGGGTCAGCAGGACTATCCGGCTGTATTTATTCAGCATGAAAGGAGGCTGTTGTGGAAGCTTTGCACACCCAGGATCTCGCCTTGGGATTCCTCGTTTTCCGCCTTTCTCATTCCACCCCTTTTTGGAATTTTTGTGTGTCTCGTACCTGGGAGTCACTGGCTCCTTCCCGGTCCCCTGGGAGCCAGGTTTCCCTCTGTCCCTCAGGTCCCCTGATCAGCTGCTGTGCACCTCTTGCTCATCTAAGGCTGCCCTTTGCAAAAGGCCCGTTCTGGGGTGGAACCGGTGCAATCCGCTAGATAAGGTTAATGATCCTTGAACTTGCTTGTTTTACTCGTTGAATGGCATGGCCCAGGCGGATCAGAGGCTGAAGTGAGCTGAGAAGCTGGTTGATGACTTGGGGGGGGGGGACACTAGACTCACTTTTAGGGTTGCCAACCTCCAGGTGGACAACAAACACACAGGGAACACGGCAAGGTTAGACAAACATAAAGAAACACCGTGGAGTTCTTGAATTTCAGTTGACCTTCGGAATCTCGAGATCACTTTCCCTGGAGGAAATGGCCGCTTCCATGAGTAGACTCCATGACATCATGTCCCCGCCGAGGTCTCTCTCATCCCCAAATTCCTCCCTGTCGAGGCACCACCTCCAAATTCCCAGGAATTCCTCAAACTGGAGTTGGCAACCCTTTCACTCCTCCCATATTCAGGGTTAAGCTATCATGTTGTAAACAGTATTAATGTTGTCTTGAGTGGGTGGAATCCACAGTGCAATAGAGAAATGGAAAGGTGCCTGGATAAGCCGTGTGGGTTGTTTTGTGATTTCTGTCCTTGTTTGGGGGAGGCGGGAAGAGGAATTTGTTCTGCATATGAACACGCTGGTCACTGTCTTACAAAGCCTGACTACAGAGCTTTCCAGAGCCTTGTGAGATATATGCTCAGATTAGGCAAACGAGGCCGATCGTCCGCAAAGCCTTTGAAAGGGTTCGGCTCGAATAACCGAACCTGTGCATGTAAAAATCTGCCAATGTGTGAATATTCGCATTGCCAGTTACCACTACGGCACTTGGTCACTTCCCCCCACCTGAGTTCTATAATGGAGGAGCATGTGAAACTTTAGGCAGCTGTATGTGATAAAGGGGTACAGTGGATCAGAGAGAGCCGGCTGTGTGTGACACAGTTCATTCCTCCCCTGCCTGTGGACGGGGATGAGCGGAGGAGCCAGGATACTCACCTAAAAGAATTGGGGAACAGAGGAGGGGCTCCCCCGTTCTGTTCAGAAGCTGCAGCAGCTTGGGGGTGGGTGGGTAATGAGATGGCAGAGAGCCCGAATTCCTGGGCTCTTTTACTTGTGCAGGAAAGCGATCAGACCAGGGGCGGATCTACCATAGAAACTCATGAAGCTTAAGCTTCAGGGCCCCGAAGCAACTTTTTAATTGAGTGAATTTTTCAACAAAATTGAAGGAATTTTTAATAAAGAGTTTGCTATTAAAATACGGCTATTTTAGTGACAGAATCATAAGCCAATGGGTTCGAGTACTTAATATTGACCTTAGAATATGCTCTAATACCCGTTTCATGTGGCCTCAAAATGGCCCTTGTAATTGATCAAATTTCAAAATTTTCTCAGGGGCCTGCAGAACAGCGGTTACCCAGACCTTATTTGCTGGTGTATGGCCCATTTTCAAGGGCTCCACCCCACCACCCCGTTCTCCGCCATTTGGGCCTCAAGGACCTTGCAAGGGCAGCAAAGGCCCTTTGGACCTTGTTGGATGTTGCCCTGTTGTTGTTGGTTGAGAAGGGGCCCCCATAACAGTTCCAGCTTCAGGGTCCCAAAAATGTAGGTCCGCCACTGGATTAGACTGAGCATTTGGATCAGGAATGGATTATCCAGGAAATATATATATGCACATTAGAGTCCCACTTGTTTTCAGGCATGATTTGGGCCTCAAGGTCCTTGCAACGGCAGCAAAGGCCCTTTGGACCTTGTTGAATGTTGCCCTGTTGTTGCTGGTTGAGAAAGGGCCCCCATAACAGTTCCAGCTTCAGGGTCCCAAAAATGTAAGTCCGCCACTGGATCAGACTGAGCATTTGGATCAGGAGTGGATTATCCAGGAAATAAATAAATATATATATATGCATATATATATGCTCATGCGCATTAGAGTCCCACTTGTTCTCAGGCATGGCCCAGTCCTATGAGAGCAGTGCTGTTAATCCACTGAGACAAAGTGAACTTCTCCAGTGAGATAAAGCAAAGTAGCAATTTTCGGAAAAGTCTTGTGTGCCTGTCTCTGTGGCTCAGGGTCAGGTCTTGCGATTGGGTCTCCCCGCCCCAACCCTTCTTACAAAGATATGAAAAAGTGCCTTACTCAGTGACGCCTTACACAATAACGAATCTTCCTCTGCCCTTGCTTTTTGGACAGGAAGAAATCTCATTTTTTAAGCAAGCAATGTCCTCTTTGTATCATTTTTCCTCCTACGATACAAAGATGACTAGAACCTTGGTATTTTTAAATATATAAATGAAAACTGGGAATTGTGTGATGCTTTATGCACTACCGCCTTGGACAACTGCTTCTGTTTTGATGCCTGGACTAGACGCGAAATCTTACGGCTATTGCACATACATTTTCTGGTTGGGACACATGGAAACCGCCACAAGAGGCACCGGGAACTTGCGCTCTAGCAAAGAAATCTCATTTTTTAAGCAAGCAATGTCCTCTTTGTATCATTTTTCCTCCTACGATACAAAGATGACTAGAACCTTGGTATTTTTAAATATATATATGAAAACTGGGAATTGTGTGATGCTTTATGCACTATCGTCTTGGACAACTGCTTCTGTTTTGATGCCTGGACGAGACGTGAAATCTTGCCGCTATTGCACATACATTTCCTGGTTGGGACACATGGAAACCTCCACAAGAGTTACCGGGGACTTGTGCTCTAGCGCACTTGTGTTGAGCGAGGCAGGGGACACCATCTAGAATCGCCAGGGACAGAACAGCTGCAGGTGAAGATGAGCTGGTTGCCAAAGGGCCTTTGGCCGGTAGCCCCCCAATTCTTTGAGGGTAAAGGAGAGGGGATTGTGTTTAGTACAGAGTTCTATTTTTGTCTACTAAAGAATTTATATATGAGTGTTAGCCAGAGATGTCTTGATAATATATATCTGTATGTGTGTGGGGGGCGGGGGGGGCAGGGAGGGAAAGCAGCAGCACGAAGCTTGATTATTTTTATATCTGTATTTCCCCCCTCCCTTGTGTACAAATGATAAAGCAAGTTTACTTCTTAAAATTTAACACATAACAAGAAGAAAAATCTCGCTTCTGCTGTACTTTATTTCGTGTGTACCCACGTCTCTCTCGTTCGGTCTCCGGAGTTTCTCCAACCAGGATTACCTGATTGCAGAGGGATCCCCGGTTAGCTTTAAGACCAGATATCGGCTCCAAACACAGGAACCCAGTCCCACGTCACTCCAGGTACACGCCAGGAGGCTAACTTCAAAGGGCAGCTGTGGTCTGCAGTTGAGCAGCCAGATTCAATGAAGGTCAAAGAAGACGGGGACGGCAAAGGTTAGACAGTGTCATAGATGCAACGAACATGAAATTGAGCAAACTTCAGAGGACGGCGGAAGACAGGAGGGCCTGGAGTGATCCGGTCCATGGGGACGCGAAGAGTCGGACTCGACTGTGCGACTGAACAACAACAAATCAGCTCCAAACACTGGAACCCAGTCCCACGTCGTTCCAGATACACGCCAGGAGGCTAACTTCAAAGGGCAGCTGTGGTCTGCAGTTGAACAGCCAGATTCAAGCCCAGCAGCACCCGAGAGGCCAATCTCTGACAAAGGGAGCGCTGACTCTTGAAATCTTAGAACCCCCTAAAAAAACACACAATCTTGTTGGTCTCTAAGGTGCTACTTAGCCTTGAAGCCAGCTGTCAGAGCTCATTCACTTCAGTCATCTCCTTCAGTAGGTCCAGGAGTGCGCCACCCCAACTTGAAGACCCTTAACTGGGTTTGGCCCACGTGCAAGGATTTGTCAAAGTGGGAGCCAGGGACCCATGGGGGGCGGAACGGTCCAACAAGGGACCTGGAGGTTTCTTGTAGACTGAAGGAAAAGCAGCAGCTTTGTGTCCATCAGACTAATATGAAAATGTCCCCCCCTTTTGAACAGTGAAAAGCTCAAAAAACCATCACCCCACCCACCTTCCAGGTCATCTCAAAATAGTTGGCCTAAAAATGTATACAGAACACTTGAAGACCCTTAACTGGGTTTGGCCCATGTGCAAAGATTTGTCAAAGTGGGAGCCATGGGGGGGGGGCGGTCCAACAAGGGATCTGGAGGTTTCTTGTAGGCTGAAGGAAAAGCAGCTTTGTGTCCATCAGACTAATATGAAAATGTCCCCCCCTTTTGAACAGTGAAAAGCTCAAAAAACCATCACCCCACCCACCTTCCAGGTCATCTCAAAATAGTTGGCCTAAAAATGTATACAGAACCAATCTATGAACTTTTAAGAGGTTGGGAGATATGCCAAGAAGGTATAGTCCCAATAATGTCAATGTAGTTACTTCCACTGGAAACTCAAACTGGGGTTTTCCCTCTGAATTTCCGATGCAATGGATTATGCCACTCTAAGTCCACTGACAACAGCAGCATATTGTGGTTTTCAGCTGAATAATGGAAAACCAGGTTTTGCAGGATGCTGGTCTCTCCTGTTTCTAGGGGCAGCTCTGACAATTTTCCACCTCTGCTTACAATGTTCCCTCTAAGCCGTGGAGTCTTGTGAGCAAAAATCCTACTTTGTGAGCTGCTGGCATTAAAGTTGCGAGCAAGTGATTTGACTGCTGCATCAGTCAGTTTGCTCTGGAGCTGTCCTTCCTGATCTGAGACAAAAATGTGTGAGCCGTAGGCTAAAAAACTGTGAGCTGGCTCACACTAACTCACCTTAGAGGGAACACTGGTTGGGAAATATGCCAAGAAGGTATAGTCCTAATAGTGTCAATGTAGTCTGATTGGTACATAATGGCACACACGCTCACTTCCTACTACTCTATTGTATAATCTGAGCCCGTTCGCAGGAAGGGCGGGGTATAAATGTAATGAAAATAAATACATAAATAAATACTTCCATTGGGAACTCAAACTGGGGTTTTCCCCTCTGAATTTCCGATGCAAAGTATTATGCCACTCCAAGTCCACTGACAACAGCAGCCTATTGCTGAATAATGGACGACCAGGTTTTGCAGGATGCTGGTCTCTCTGGTTTCTAGGGGCAGCTCTGAAAATTTTCCACCTCTGCTCACCGAGAAGTAATTAACCAATAAGGACATATCTTCTAGCCAAGGAATGAGAGAGATCAGAAGTCCGGGTTGTTTTTTTGAGCCGTGAGGCTGTGGCTAGTCTCTGAGATCTGGCGCTGTAGGCCGTGTACGACCATCCAAACCTTCTGACTAAACTTGCTTTTAAAGGATTGCTGGATGCTGGTACTGTTCTCTTTGGGCTGCCTGGAGGACACACGGGAACCGAAGCCCCCCCCCTCCCGTGGGGCACACACAGCTTTGAGAAGCGGGTGGAGTGGTGGGCAGCAGCAAGGGAAGAGCGCATGGACGTCACAATCTGCCCAATCAGACTTAAATCAATTTGGGTTGCTAACATGTAAAGAACCAGTGCTGTAACGCAATGCCATGCAAAAAAAAGGAAACCAGCAAAAAGACACTGCAAGGCACCAGTTTAAGGGCTGGGAAGGGCCAGATCCAAATCCGCACTCTGCCGTGAACCTCGCCGAGTGTCCTGGAGCCCAGTCACCCCCTTTCACCCTCACTGACCCCAAAGGATTACGCCAAGGGTGAAAAAGGGGAAAGGGAGGGCCACGTACACCACCCTGAGTTTCCTTAGAGAAAGCAGATCGAAATACACCAGGAAGCAAGTAGATTATACAATAGAGTAGTAGGAAGTGAGCGTGTGTGCCACTACGTACCAATTTTGTGCGTTTCCACCCTTTGTAATACTGGGTTGCTCCCTCTCCCTCTCCCAATCTGCATTCCTGTCAGCCAGATGCAAGTGGAGGAGTGGGGAATCAAACCTGGTTCTCCCAGATTAGTCTGTGCACTCAGGGCTCTTTTTGGGCAGGAACGCACAGGAACGGAGTTCCGGCTGGCTCCCAAGTTGGCCATGCCCAGCAGGAACTCATTAGCATAACAGGCCACACCCAACAGCAGAAATTCATTAGGATTGGCTACATTAGGGATGTGTGGCCTAACATGCGAAGGAGTTCCTGCTACAAAAAAGCCCTGGGTTTTGACAACAAACAAGGTAAACAGAATAAGAAGCAAAAAGTGGGTGTGGCTGGATGACCACACTTCTGGTAACATGGGGGTGCGGCCTAATGAGCTGTCAGGGGCGTGGCCTAATATGCTAATGAGTTTTGTTGGGTGTGGCCTATTATGCTAATGAGTTCCTGCTGGGCTTCTTCTACAAAAGAGCCCTGTGTGCACTTAACCACACCAAACTTTGACAGCCCCCCCCCGCGACTGCCAGCAGGCCCCCCCTTCCCTGCCCACATTTTCTTTTCCTCTCCTCCCCCCATTCTTGCAAAGGGGAAGATGGGGGGGGGACTTGGGGGCTCTAACTACAGGCACATGCAGAAAAAATAGAGAGGAGGGACAACTGGTGAGCTGAAGGCCCAAACGGAGCACAGTTGGGTGGAGTTGGGGGAGAAGCAAGAGGTGCACATTAAAAAGAAACAAGCCGGAGGCCTCTTCCACGTGCTTGATAAATACGGACGCTTCGGCTTTACTGAGTGTAGAACGATTCACACAGAGGCAGCAGGAGCCAGGCAGGCAGAAACTGCAGAGGAAGAGGCTTGCGTTGGGGTTGCAGCCCTGCCTCCCCGTACCTGCTCTATAAAGGCCCCAACCAATGCTCCCTCTAAGCTGTGGAGTCTTGTGAGCAAAAATTCTACTTTGTGAGCTCCTGGCATTAAAGCTGTGAGCAAGCCATTTTGCTGCTGCACAAATTAGTTTGCTCTGGAGCCCTCCTTCCTGAGCGAAGACAAAAATCTGTGAGCCAGAGGCTAAATGACTGTGAGCTAGCTCACACTAACTCAGCTTAGAGGGAACACTGGTCCCCAACACAGGAAAGGTGTCACCCCGAGGATCCTTCTGCCACAGAATGCTGCCAGGACCTCTCAGGCTCCGGCACTCCCCCCCCTCTTCTGCAGCAGAAATTAAGCTTGACGAGTGTGTGAGATATTTATATCCATCAGCAAAAACCTGCAATGGGGGCACGGAGCCAGGTTGAAGACGGAGGCAACCCCTGACTGTCCCGAGGGAGGGTGGAGGACAAGACATCTGTGTGTCACCAAAAAAGAGACTTGTGCCCCCTCCTACACGGAGCCAGGTTGAAGACGGAGGCAACCTCTGACTGTCCCGAGGGAGGGTTGAGGACAAGACATCTGCGTGCCACCAAAAAAGAGACTTGTGCCCCCTCCTGCCCCACTCCTCCACTGTGGAACAGGACTAGCACGACAGAACCAGGTTACCCATCAGACTGGTTAAGCACAAGGGGGAAGCAGTGCATTGGGTTTCAGGGCTCCCTTCTCCAGAAGCAAAAAGGCTTCCTGGTGGCTATCCAAGATCACAGAGCTGGTATGTGGGTGTGGGTGTGTGTGTGAGGGGGAGCCCGGCCTCTCTGGCCCACCACGACCAATCTCCCCCCACCTCCCATAGAACCTTGTCCGATCACCAAGCTGGAGCAAGGCAGCCATACTATGGAACAAGCCGGAGGCCTGGGGGAGAGTGAGTGAGCGAGCGAGCGAGACAGAGGACAGACAGGGCAGAGCTGCCTCCTCCGCAGTTCTAAATAAAAAGGAGAGAGGGAAGAAAGTGGAAGGCAAATTATGTATTCAATTGCAGGGCACAATGCATTCGTCTTTCCCCACCCCACCCCCCAAACATGAAATCGACAAGAGCTGAATCGCAATGACAGCAGCAACAGAAGAGGGATACACAGCAGCATCAGAACCAGGATCGATATCCTCTCTTCCAGAGGGTGGCGCGGCCCCGGACCTACACAACGCAATGACAAAACCCCGCCATGCTTCGGGAATGGCAAATGGGCAGGAGCCGCCCCCCCTCCCCTCCAGGGACAGTATTTGGCAGAAGAGGTGTTGGTGTTCAGGGGGACAGGAGACAATTCTGTAACAGGGGAAACACCAAAGCCTTTCTTTCAGAAGTTGGTGGGCGGGATGTGGGGTAGAGAGGCCAGTGCTCGCCTCAAGACTACCCCACAGGGAGACGACGATCTGCATTCCACAAGGCACCTACCATTCTTACCTACCCACCCACCCACTCACCCATCCTCTTCCGGGAAAGATGGGAGTCCCAAGGAAGGGAGCTGCAAGTAATTACAGTCTATTTCAAAAGCATCTTACCACTCATGGGGGTTACAGTGCTGTAAGAGGTGGGGGAGGAGGGAGACCAATAGAAGGGCTTTGTGGGGCTGGTGGGCACCGCTGGGGCGGCAGCATTCTGGCGTCTTAGAGGGCAATACCGGGAGTGTCCACAGCCATGACAGAGGGTACCGATACGGCTCCATCGACATCTGAATTAATGCTTGGCAGCCTTCGCCCCGGCCCCTTCTGCGCGCTTCGAGCATGGAACTGCCAAGCCCCATCCCAGCCTTTCTTCCAAAGGACAAGGATCCGCGGGCCACATGCAACATTCAGAACTGCTCCCTGAAGCAGGCCGGGGCAGGTGGGAAGACACCTCTGCCACCAGCACCTGAACCCAGGCCTTGTCACAAACAAGGGCCCCAGGATTTCTCCAGCATCCGGCAGCGGCCCAATGGCCATCGTGACTGAGCAGTAAAGAGACAGGGAAGCGGCTCAGGTGATGTTAGATACAGACATCTATACGGCCCAACCGACAAAAAAAAAATATGCTGCCCCTGGAGGTGGAGGCTGGAAGTGCAATGAAGAACATCCCAAACAATCAAATCAGGCAGCCTCAAGGAATGGCAAAATGAAAGAGACGGGGGGATCCCTTTGCCCCCCCCAAGTCCTTAGCCGCTGAGCGGGTGCAAATCCACCTTGACTTTCTCCCCGCTGCTCAGCATCCCGATGGTGGGGAAGAAGCCCCCGCAGGGCACCACGGCATCCTTCTTGCCAATAATCTTCCCGTTGCGGGTAAAGAACACCTAGGAGGGGTGGACAAGAGAACGTCAGGAGCTTCAGATTGCCACCACCCAACAGCTGACTCTTGGCTGGCCGATCCGAGGTTTTAGAGACATTCCCCAGCTGTGGACTGATTGGGCATCTGGAAGTGTACGATAAAACTCTGCACATGTTTAATTTGACCAAAGTGGCCAACAGAAGCGGATCTGTTCCTTAAGAATAGAAAGAGGGACTCTGCCCAGTCACAGGCAAGTCTACAGGGACCTGGGACAGAGCAGATTGTGAGCACCCCCCCCCCTTCTTCACTCCCAGTACAGGAGATGATCAGATCCCAATATTCCACCCACCCACCCCAGCTGGTTTCATACGCACAAACAAAATGTTTGATTTGTAAACACTGAAACCACAGCACCTGGATTCCACCCATAGATCATATGATCTCAATCTAACATGCAGTCTCCTTGATGAAGTTCTTAATTCATGGAAAGCCTTTCAAAATCAAAATTTCCTAAGCGACACGCCACTGCCAGTTGTATGTGGTGAATCAATGGCATGAAGTTTGTGTTCCTAATTTTCGTTTACAGAAATCCCATACTTACGTTAAAGACAAGTGCACACTATTGGCACCTGGGTCTAAACGTTTGGTTTTGTTCCTTCGTATCTGGCTACTCAGTGACAACTTTATCCCACACTGTTCAGTTTCCCAAACACTTCTCATATAATCCTCCCTGAACTGACAGGTAGGAGCCATTAATCTAGAGGTGCAGCAATATCTGATAATATCCAGCTCTGTTAACCCACCATCAGGGCCGTAGCCAGCAGTGGGGCTTTAGGGGCTGAGCCCCCTAATCGCATACCCTAAAGCCCCACCAGGTGCCCTAGAGCCCCCTAGCCAACTGCTGCCTTTCTCCCTCCCTCCCAGCCACTCTAGGAAGCCCACAAACAGGATTAGAACCTCACAGGGAACTGGAATTCGATCGGAGGCTTCCCAAGGCAGGAAGCCTCCAGTAGCACTCCTAGCATAAGGGGAAACACACAGAAAAGCTGTGCATGTGTCCACTCTGGGACAAGCCTTCAATTGTTCCATGAGTTTGAAAGACATAAACCAGCTCAAGGGATGCCCTGACCTGGGTAGCCCAGGTGAGCCCGATCTCGTCAGATCTCGGAAGCTAAGCAGGGCCGGCCCTGGCTGGTGTTTGGATGGGAGACCCCCGAGGAATACTGGGGTTGGGAGGCAGAGGCAGGCGATATCAAGCCACTTCTCTGAACGCCCTCCATGCCCCAGTAGGAGTTGTCAGAGATCACCGTGACTTCCAGGCCTTGGGCACACACACACACAAAATGCAAAAATGCCAAACAATAAAATAAAACAGCCTAATGTCCACCTAACAGGTGGACAAATACGGCATCTGAGCGAGAAGCAGATCCGCAGCTCTTCGGCTATCCTGGGAAAAGTAGCAGAAAACTCCCAAGGAGACACTGGTAAGCCTCCTGATGTGCAGAAGGGCATAACCCATCCCTTGACCTACACGCGACTGAGAGGTGGGAACAGCAGCCGTCCTGGGTTCAGCTGTCCGGAGAGCTGGCAGACCAAAACTGCAGGAACTGCATGTCTGCCCATCTGACGGCCCTCTCCTGGCACACTGAGGATGCAGGATCCAGCCTTCAGAATGAACTTTTCAGGGGGAAAGATGTGTTTCACTGGGGCTGTGTGCTTTCTGTAAGTCCATACAAGGCACTGAAATCAGTGGGCTAATCAGGCACAGAAAGCCAGCATCTTATGATTCTTGGCTGGGAGACTGATTTAAAAAAAAAACAAAAAAACTATATTCTCAGCCCTCATGGCTGCAAACCAAAAGTGTAAATCATGCAGGCAATGTCTAGTGAAGATCTGGAGCCCCTGGGGGCAAACAGAAGCAGCTCACGTTCTCTCCTGTGAAACTACCCTCTGAGACCTTCAAGCAAATGAAAGACAATCTGAAACGCACACGTGAAACACGCATGAAGCTGCCTTCTGCTGAATCGGGCCATCTGCTGAATCGGTCCATCGAGGTCAGTATTGTCTACTCAGACTGGCAGTGGCTCTCCAGGGTCTCAGGCAGAGAGGTCTTTCCCATCACCTCCTACCTGGAGATGTTGGGAACTGAACCTGAGACCTTCTACGTGCAAAGCAGGGGCTCTTCTACTGAGCCATAGCCCCTCCTCAATGTTTCCTTCTACTGAATCAGACCCTGGGTCTATCAAGGTCAGTAGAATCCACTCTGACTGGCAGTGGCTCTCCAGGGTCTCAGGCAGAGAGGCCTTTCACATCACCTCCAACCTGATCCTTTTTACTGGAGATGCCGGGGATTGAACCTGAGTCCTTCCGCATACCAAGCAAAGGCTCTAGCTACTGAGCCACAGCTCCTCCCCAATTTGCTCGTTGTGTGTAATTTTTTAAAATCTACCAATCACAAAGAACAATAAGCGGTGTGACGATTTCCCTTAATCGATGCAAATTCTATGTCTTCCTCCTCTGCTTTCGCCACCTCCCCACCCCCAGCCACTGGGAACGCTGGAGTATAAATCTGTGTGTGTGTGTGTGTGTGCGCGCGCACGTGTGCGTGCTTGCATGCCTGGGCTTGCATGCCTGGAAGTCATGGCCGACTTCTGGCGACCCCTACTGGGGGCCTGGATGTTTTTCAGAGAGGGGACTTGCAGTGTTCCCTCTAAGCTGAGTTAGTGTGAGCTGGCTCACAGTTTTTTAGCCTCCCGCTCACACATTGTTATCTTAGCAGAGGAAGGATGGCTCCAGAGCAAACTAATATATGCAGTAGCCAAATCGCTCACTCGCAACTTTAAGGCAAGTAGCTCACAAAGCAGAATTTTTGCTCATGAGACTCCCCAGCTTAGAGGGAGCATTGGTGGCTTGATAGCCTGTCTCTGACTCCCGGCCCTGGTATTCTCTGGAGGGCTCCCATCCAAGCACTTGCCAGAGTCAACCCTGCTTAGCTTCCGAGATCTGACGAGATCCGGCTTGCCTGGGCTCTCCGGGTCTGGGTGAGTATAAATGTTTTTTTCTAAACAGAAACTGCTGCACGTTTTCCAAAGCTATGTTTTCCAGCCATGAATACTTGAACACAGAGGGTGAACCCCCAGGGAAATGCTGACTGCAACTTTGGGGTCAGGAAGCAATTTTTCTCCAGGCCAGTTTGGCTGGAGATCCTGGAGGTTATTTGTCATCTTCTGGGCGTGGAACAGGGGTCACTGGGGGAGGTATTTGTGAACTTCATGCAATTGTGCAGGGGGTTGGATTAGATGACCCTGGAAGCCCCTTCCAACCCTACGATTCTAACAATAACGATATGATTGAGCAGTAAAGATTTTGAGCTTGCCGGATTCTGCGCCTGGATTCCAGTCCTTGCTCTGCATGGTCACAGAATCCACACAGCCCCAATCACGAATTTAACAAGTATATACTACTCTTTTAATGATAGAGGCTCACATGCCTCCCCTCATCAGTAAATAAAGTAATTTATACTTCTGTAGTCCAGAAGACGCAGCCAGAAGAATTCCAGCCACACACACTGCCTTTATCTACTTAACTTGCTGTATAACTAGATCTCCCAATTAATTCTGATGGCAAAGAAACTTTCCTGGGAGAGGGGGATGGTGGGCGATGGAATGGAAGGATGATGAACAATCGTGAAGATCAGGATCTGAGCAAGAACTTTTAAAGCCCTTCAATGGCCCCGGTTCGATGCACTTTAGGAGTGACTCCCTGCCTGCATAGACCTCTCCTCGTGTACATGGATGAGGCCCTCTAATTTCTGCCAGGAAACGGCACGAGACAAGCAGTGCTGGCGCCACGGCAGGAACTCTTGCAGCAACTCCTCACTTCCCCCCGCGAGCCCGGCCCAAACACTTACCACCACCTTCTTGCCTTCGTGCTCTTGCTCCATGTCTTCCCCGTCATCCTCTTCGTCCTCCTCCTCCTCTGCTTCCTGGTGCAGGTACAGGACGTTTCTCACACCGCGGGGGGGCTTGGCCCGGAGGGCCACCGTATCACAGCTGTCGTCACTGTCGCCTGCGGGACACCCACAAACCCAAGTCTTAGGAGGTGGCACTCTGGATCTCCCACCAGAGAAGGATGATGCTTGGACTCAACAGCTATGCACATTCTGCTCAGCAGGGCCAACTCACACACTACAGAGTACACAGGTCGGGCCTGTGGTCCCCCACTCTGTGTAACGATCAGACATGAGTTCTGGGTTCTCATTTCTCATATGCGGGGTACCCCATAATACTGCAACTCATATCAGGGTTGGGGGCCCGACCTAGGTATTCCATAATGTGCGAGTCAGAGATAATCTAGGGCCACCGGGCAAACTTCCTGCGGCTCGTTTATTGCTTATTTTAAACATTTATCACCCACCTTTCGGCCCTGCAGAACTGAAGGCGGCTTGTGATCAGTGTTCCCTCTAAGCTGAGTTAGTGTGAGCTAGCTCACAGTTTTTTAGCCTCCAGCTCACACATTTTTGTCTCAGCTTAGGAAGGCTGGCTCCAGAGCAAACTAATTTATGCAGCAGCCAAATCCCTTCCTCAGAACTTTAATGCCAGTAGCTCACAAAGTAGAATTTTTGCTCACAAGACTCCACAGCTTAGAGGGAGCATTGCTTGTGATGTATACAGAGCAACAGTTATTGAAAAGACGCATAAAAGACCACACGTTAACATTTCTATTAGGACTGCCAATAGATAAAAACTGAGTCAAATGCAGTCAACTGCCTTCGATGGCCTCCTGAAGATCGAAAGCGAGGGGGGCCGGGCACACCTAACTGGGGAGGTTATTCCATGATTCTGGGGCTGCCACCGAAAAGGCCTTCTATTCTTCTTCTCAGCCAGCGGTGCTTTCTTTTTTTTTCTCCCCCGGCTCAGCTCTTCCTCTCCAGAATCAATGGAACTTCCCTTTATCCAGAAGCCAGACATTCTTGCTCCCAGAGGAAGGGGAAATGGCAGACGGGGCAAAATCGGTGTGTGTGCGTGTTTATTAAAGACCAACAGTTCTGAAACTTCAGAAACAAAGCCAGAATAAGAAAGGACACAGGTGTACTGTCTGAATGCATCCAAACTGGGGGAAATCCCCTTTGTTTGCCTAAGGCAAATAAGAATGTCCTCCGAACAATCAAGCAAGGAAGCTTTAAAAAGGTGGCTCCTCCTTTTTCCTTACCTTTCAGGCCATCACAGAAGGTCTAAGTAAAGATCTCAGTGAGTTGGTGAATTTGGTGGACTTATTTGCAAGGGCTGGTCTAATCCTCTCTGTACTGGGAGGGAGAAAAGAAGAACAGCCCTACTGGACCAGACCAGTGGGGTCCATCTAGTCCAGCATCCAAACTTCAGCGCCCTGGAGGGCCAAAAAACAAGGCATAGAGACCAAGGCCTTCCCATAATGTTGCCTGCTAACACTGGCATTCAGACATTTGCAAGGGCTGGTCTAATCCTCTCTGTACTGGGAGGGAGAAAAGAAGAACAGCCCTACTGGACCAGACCAGTGGGGTCCATCTAGTCCAGCATCCAAACTTCAGCGCCCTGGAGGGCCAAAAAAAACAAGGCACAGAGACCAAGGCCTTCCCATAATGTTGCCTGCTAGCACTGGCATTCAGAAGTTCCCTGCCTCTAAACGTGGAAGAGAGGAAGTGCAAAACTGGCCATGGGAGAAGAGAAGAGATTGGATTTATACCCTACCCGTCACTACCCGAAGGAGTCTCAGAGCGGCTTACAATCTCCAATCCCTTCCCCTCCACACAACAGACACCCTGTGAGGTGGGTGGGGCTCTCCTGAGAACTGCCCTTGAGAGAACAGCTCTGAAAGAACTCCTAACTGACCCAAGGTCACAACAGCAGCTCCATGTGGAGGAGTGGGGAATCAAACCCGGTTCTCCCAGATTAGAGTCCACTGCTCCTAACCACTACACCAAACCGGCATTCCATGGTTCTCTTCTGGATATTCTCTGATGGAAACACATGGCTGAAGTCCCTGTAAGGGACTAGCGGGGAGACCATCCCTTTGTCAAAGCCATAGAGAACAAAAGAATCTCCTGGGGGTTATGACTTCCAAACACCTTTCTTGTTTGCATGCAGCTTGAAGGTGCCCCTCCCAGACAGGGGATGTCCTTGACCGGAGGAGAACCATCTGCTGAACTAGATAGACTCACGCCAATCCAAGTCAAGTCCCAGGGTCCACCGACTGCAACGTACGTACTTATTCCCTCACCCAGTGTCACGATTCACCAAGTTCTCGATGCTCACCTTCACTGTCGAGGATATAATCGCGGGGGAACATGATCCCACAGCCCATGATGTCACCCTTGTAGCAGCGGGGCCCAAAGGGGTCCCCTACTCCACTCCCGTGAAAGATCTTGCCGTCGTCTGCAAAAGAGGGGGAAAGGTTGGGGAAGGGTTCACGCACACCCCGACTATAATGCAAGATTTCCCAAAGACCCAGCCTGCGCACACAATAAACACAGTGCAATAAATGCCTCCAAATCTAGATGGAAACACCGTGGACTTCCCCTGAGATATACTGCTGCCACCTGTTCTGCCCTGGTCCCGCCCCAGTACCATGGTCTGGGTGGGAGGGCTAAAGAGACTATATAAAGGGATGCTACCTCAGCTTCAAGCTGCGGTGGCTCAAGTGGTTAAGACGCTGAACTGCAGGCTGTGGAAGGTCAGCAGTTCAAGACCCAGGTGCCGCATGACGGAGTGAGCTCCCGTCTCTGGCTCCAGCTCCTGCCAACCTAGCAGTTCGAAAGGAAGAACTTGCAAGTAGATAAATAGGTACCACTTCGGTGGGAAGGTAACAGCGTTCCATGCGCCTTGGTGTTTAGTCATGCCGGCCACATGACCATGGAAATGTCTTTGGACAGCGCTGGCTCTTCGGCCTTGAAACGGAGATGAGCACCGCAACCGTAGAGTCGGATTCGACTGGCTTTCGAGAAAGGAACCTTTACCTTTTTACCTCAGCTTCAGATCAGTCCGCTTGGGGAGCTTCTCTGAGCTTAGTCAGAAGCACGTGGCTTGGACACCCCTGCTGCTCCCAAGGACTCAGGGTAGGGTCGCCAGGTCCCCCCTGGCCACTGGCTGGGGAGGGGGAACATAGGGTTGCCAGATCCTGGTTGGGAAACTCCTGAAGCTTTGGGGACAGAGCCTGGAGAGGACAGGAACCTCAATGGGGTACAATGCCACAGAATTCGCCCTCCAGAACATCCATTTTCTTTAGGGGAACTGAACCTCTGTAGTTTGGAGATAAGCTGTAGGTCTGTAATTCCAGGGCACCCCCAGGTCCCGCCTGGAGGCTGGCATCCCTAGCTCAGAGGCTTCCCCGAGCTGAGCTTTGGATGAAAAGCAAAGGGACACCTTCGGCGTTCATCGGGGTGAAAGTAGGCCAGGGCAGAGTGTTAAGAAAGCGGCTGAAGTGGTCTCCCCTCGCCTCCTTCTTTGAGGCTCTCACCCCCAAAGACAATAGCAGAAAGACACTGCAATTGCTTTACTTTAAGTTACTGATGTTCGTGCAGTTCGGCTTAGGCATTTGAGGAAAGGTTCTCCCTCAAACACACAAGTGTTGATACGAAAGACATGAAAAATTCAGCTGAACTCTACTTCGTACGCATTATGTGCCACCAACTTGCTTCCAACCTAGAACGAGGGCTATTTTTGGGCAGGAACGCACAGGAACGGAGTTCCGGCTGGCTCCTGAGTTGGCCACGCCCAGCAGGAACTCGTTAGCATAATAGGCCACACCCAAGAGCAGAAACTCATTAGGACTGGCTACATTAGGGGTGTGTGGCCTAACATGCAAAGAAGTTCCTGCTCCAAAAAAAGCCCTGGGTGTTGACAACAAAGAAGGTAAACAGAATAACAAGCAAAAGGTGGGTGTGGCTGGATGACCACACTTCTGGTAACATGGGGGTGCGGCCTAATATGCTAATGAGCTGTGCTGTCATGGGTGTGGCCTAATATGCTAATGAGTCTCTGCTCTTGGGTGTGGCCTATTATGCTAATGAGCTCCTGCTGGACTTTTTCTACAAAGAAAGCCCTGAGCGACCCTATGAATTAACGACCTCCAAGGCATCCTAACATTAACAGCCTTGATCAGGACTTCTGAACTGAAGGCCCCGGCTTCCTCCACCGAGTCCATCCGTCGCACGTTGACAACGCCTTCCTCTTTTCTTACTGCCTTCGACATTTGCTAACACTGCTGTCTTTTCCAGTGAGTCTTGTCTTCTTTTGATGTGATCCAAGTACAATAGCCTCAGTTTAGTTTGTACATCAAGCTATTCTTAAGTCACGAGGAAAACAAATAAAGGTGATCAGTGCAGGAAGGAGAAAAGCACGCCGTCCAATGATAAGAGCTATATTATTGGCAACCAGAACTGCCCAAACGCAAGTTTCAGGAAGCTGGAACGTATTTCTTCTTCACCAGCTATACGTTTTCCTGGCTGTGACTTACAGCTAAGGGGGAGTTGGGAAGGTATTCATTTCTTCCCATCCTCCCTCAGCAATGGCGGCACTTTTCCTTTTTTCTACAAAGAAAGCCCTGAGCGACCCTATGAATTAACGACCTCCAAGGCATCCTAACATTAACAGCCTTGATCAGGTCTTCTGAACTGAAGGCCCTGGCTTCCTCCACCGAGTCCATCCGTCGCACGTTGACAACGCCTTCCTCTTTTCTTACTGCCTTCGACATTCGCTAACATGGCTGTCTTTTCCAGTGAGTCTTGTCTCCTTTTGATGTGACCCAAGTACGATAGCCTCAGTTTAGTTTGTACATCAAGCTATTCTTAAGTCACGAGGAAAACAAATAAAGGTGATCAGTGCAGGAAGGAGAAAAAAGCACACCGTCCAATGATAAGAGCTATATTATTGGCAACCAGAACTGCCCAAACGCAAGTTTCAGGAAGCTGGAACGTATTTCTTCTCCACCAGCTATATGTTTTCCTGGCTGTGACTTACAGCTAAGGGGGAGTTGGGAAGGTATTCATTTCTTCCCATCCTCCCTCAGCAATGGCGGCACTTTTCCTTCAGAAGCCGGAATTCCCTGCCTTAGGAAGGTAAATGGCAGAACTCTGCCCATCGATCTCCAGTTTTGATATATTATTTCCTTCACTATGTTTTCCCCAGAGTTAAACCCAAACACATGGTGAACACATAAACTAAGCTCATTATTACAGTTTGGTCCTTGCACCTGCTAAACACTTTCATTATGCTGTATGCTACTTTGCCGCTCACCTGCATACCTATATGTATGGACCGGTAAGTATGGACCGGCGGTAAGTGCCATTTCAATGTATCCGTCCAATGATAAGAGCTATATTATTGGCAACCAGAACTGCCCAAACGCAGGTTTCAGGAAGCTAGAACGTATTTCTTCTCCACCAGCTATATGTTTTCCTGGCTGTGACTTACAGCTAAGGGGGAGTTGGGAAGGTATTCATTTCTTCCCATCCTCCCTCAGCAATGGCGGCACTTTTCCTTCAGAAGCCGGAATTCCCTGCTTTAGGAAGGTAAATGGCAGAACTCTGCCCATCGATCTCCAGTTTTGACATATTATTTCCTTCACTATGTTTCCCCCAGAGTTAAACCCAAACAAATGGTGAACACGTAAACTAAGCTCATTATTACAGTTTGGTCCTTGCACCTGTTAAACACTTTCAATATGCTGTATGCCAACCTGATGGCACTGGTATTTCTGGCCACTGTGTGACACAGTGTTGGACGGGATGGGCCTTTGGCATGATCCAACATTGGCGTCTCTTATGTTCTTATGTTAAGTATGCCTGCATATGAAAGCTTATGGCTCGAATAAAACTTTGCTGGTCTTAAAGGTGCCACTAGATGTGAACTTTGTTCAGCAGAAATCCATTCAGTGCAACGGCTGCAATTTGGGTCCAGACCACAGCTAAGAACAGTTGTACACAGGAAGGCAACAGGCATTTGTACAGAGGCCTCATCTGAGCGGGGCCCGGTTTCAGTTCCAAGAACCTATTTGTCAAGATGGCTGGATATACCTGTACCTCAGGAAACATCCCACAGTTCCTACTCAGTGAGCTGGCTCAGTCAACACCAGGCAGCTCCACTACCAGGCCGAAGAGGGGGAAACATACCATTCATCACCCAGGATCGAAGCCAGGCAAGTTCGGAAGGTTGGGGTTATGCCCTGCCTCCGGGCAGCTGAGAACAAAAGGGAAAGGGAGGGCGCGGAAAGACAGGGCCACAGACCACTTGAAAGGCCCTGGCATGGGCTTGGTCTCTCCAGGTTCAGCTATGCGGTGGACGCAGGCGCCCGGAACACAGGCTGGCGGCCAAGGCCCTTTTGCCTCCACGAAAGAGGCAGGATCCTCGGCAAAAGGGCAGTAAATATTTCCCCCTGTAGCTAAGGAGACTTTGGGAACAATGTTGTGTAAACATTCCAGAGTGTGTTGAAAATCGCAAAGGCCTGCCAAGCCAGAGCGCCTTTTTAGGGAATCCCCCCTCAGCACAGTATGGGCAGGAAAGGGGGATCAGAATCAATATTCCCTCTAAGCTGCAGAGTCTTGTGTGCAAAAATTCCACTTTGTGAGTGACTAGCATTAAAGTTGTGAGCGAGTGATTGGGCTGCTGCATAAATTAGTTTGCTCTGGAGCCCTCCTTCCTGAGCCAAGACAAAAATGTGTGAGCCAGAGGCTAAAAAACTGTGAGCTAGCTCACACTAACTCAGCTTAGAGGGAACACTGATCAGAATGAAGCAGGGGGGCTGGGAAGGCCTACAGGGACTGAGGAAAGGAAGGGAGACAGAAGGTCCTTCCTGGAGAGAGGTGGGGTTAAGCAGTCCACCTCTCTTCCAAGGCTGTGGTCTCCCACCGTGGAGGGCTTGCTTTACACTCCAGAGAAAAAGGTCAAGATGGCTAGTCGTGTTAAGTCTGTCTCTAGCAGTAGAAAAGAGCAAGAGTCCAGTAGCACCTTAAAGACTAACAAAATTTGTGTCAGGACAGGAGCTTTCGTGAGTCACTGCTCACTTCTTCAGATACCGCTAGAATGCGAGTCCACCTGTCCTATGTATTGGGAAAGTGGAGTGATTTCAGATGCAAAATGACATCAGCAGTAGGGGAACATTTTAACCTTCCAGGACATTTGGTTGCTGACCTAAAAGTAGCAGTTATCTTACAAAGGAATTTCAAAGGGACATTAGAGAGACTGCTGAATTGCAACTGATAATGAAGCTCAAGACAATGTATCTACCTGGACTGAATTGAGACCTAGGTTTCCTGTCTCATTACCAATGCTGATTTCTCCATGCCTATTACCCCTCAGCATATCGAGGGGTAATCGAATCATGCCTGCTATTGTCATTTGCCTGCTAATGTCATTTGGCATCTGAAATCACTCCACTT